TGAGTCCATCATCATCATAATGTGTTTTGTCCTCATCGTCATGTGTTGTCCTGAGTCCATCACCATCATCATCATCATCATCATCATCATCAACATCATGTGTGTTGTCTTTATCATCATGTGTGTTGTCCTGAGTCCATCATCATCATCATGTGTGTTGTCCTCATCATCTTGTGTGTTGTCCTGAGTCCATCCTCGTCATGTGTGTTGTCCTCATCATCGTGTGTGTTATCCAGAGTCCATCATCATCATCATGTGTTTTGTCCTCATCATCATGTGTGTTGTCCTGAGTCCATCATCATCATCATGTGTGTTGTCCTGAGTCCATCATCATGTGTGTTGTCCTGAGTCCATCATCATCATCGTCATCATCATCATCATCATGTGTTTTGTCCCCATCATCATGTGTGTTGTTCTCATCCTCATATGTGATGTTCTGAGTCCATCATCATCATCATCATCATGTGTGTTGTCCTGAGTCCATCACCATCATCATCATGTGTGTTGTCCTGAGTCCATCATCATCCTGTGTGTTGTCCACATCATTATGTGTGTTGTCTTGAGTCCATCATCATCATTATAAAATGTGTTGACCTGAGTCCATCATCATCATGTGTGTTGTCCTCATCATCACGTGTGTTGTCCTGAGTCCACCATCATCATCATGTGTGTTGTCCTCATCATCATGTGTGGTGTACTGAGTCCACCATCATCATCATGTGTTTTGTCCTCATCCTCATGTGTGTTGTCCTGAGTCCATCATCATCATCATGTGTGTTGTCCTCATCATGTGTGTTGTCCTAAGTCCACCATCATCATCATGTGTTGTCCTCATCAGCGTGTGTGTTATCCCGAGTCCATCATCATCATGTGTTGTACTGAGTCCGTCATCATCATCATCATGTGTGTTGTCCTCATCATCATGTGTGTTGTCCTGAGTCCATCATCATCATGTGTGTTGTCCATAGTCCATCATCATCATCATCATGTGTCTTGTCCTCATCATCATGTGTGTTCTCCCGAGTCCATCATCATCATGGGTGTTGTCCTGAGTCCATCATCATCATATCATCATCATCATCATTATCATCATCATCATGTGTGTTGTCCTGAGTCCATCATGATCATCATGTGTTTTGTCCTCATCATGACGTGTGTTGAACTGAGTCCATCATCATCATCATGTGTGTTGTCCTCATCATTATGTGTGTTGTCCTCATCCTCATATGTGTTGTCCTGTGTCCATCATCATCATCATGTGTGAAGTAAACGAACTTTATCAGTCACGTTATCAGTCATAATCTTTTTTTATCTTCATCATTTTAAGCTGAGCTGATTCTTTTACATGTGAGCTCAGTGTGTGGACGTTTAGTGTAAATAAAGAGAATAAACTCGTGCAGTTGCTTTTGCTGAATGCTTATATTTAAGCACGGGTGTGTGTGTGTGTGTGGTGGGGGGGGGATAGGCGCCTAACGGCGCTTGCTTACCGCGGTCCTTCTGCGCCTGCGCGCGGCTCCAGCCCTCCGCCTCTTGGGCACGGGGCGAGTGGCTCTGCGCATGCGTCTGCGAGGCATCGTGATCGTTCTTGTGTTGGTGTCTGCGGATAAAGGCGCGGGCGTCGCGGCACCTCTATTTATAACCTCGGTCTGATGACGTCATCACGCGCTCCAACAAAACTACCGTCTTAGAAAAAAGCCGGTTTGCTTCCATCACTGTTACGTCACAAAGAGCGGGGCCCCCCCTGCAGCCTCACTGGCTTTCATCATTGTTACGTCACAAAGAGCTGCCCCCCTGCAGCGTCACTGAGATAACACTGAGAATCACACCTTCAAACAGTAGTCAATCAGCAGAGGATTGATCAGGAGTGATGTCATATGTTTCTGTTATTTATAGTATTTCTTTGGCGCCACTATTTTGGTTGGCAACATGAAGTTCATTCAGCAGTGCTGAGTTCAACTCAAGTCAAGTCATCTTTATTGTCAAAACTACAGTTTGTACAGGACATACAGATTATTGAGACTGCGTTACTCTCAGAGCCCATGATGTAGCGATAACATTAAATAGACGGTAAACAGGAAAAGTGTGAATTTAAATAGACACTAAAAAAACACTAAACAGTAATCTTAAACAAAATAAACACTAATTGTAAAAAAAATATAATAATAAAAAAATATAAATATAAGAAGGTCCTGGAATTAACACTAAAGTAACATAAGGCACATACAGATTAAGGTCTCTGGGAATAAATAGTGCAAATATAAACAGTAGTGCAATTGGAATGAGCTTATGGAGCCATAACCGATCTAGTAAAGGCAGTAGGACACCTTTTATCACTTTTAAATCTCATTTTTAAAGCGTATGATACTGATATATTTGAATGTATTGCATTGGTTTTACCTAATTTGTTGTAGTGATAACAAATGAAAGCTGTGCTATTTGAACTCTCCTGTCATGTCGCACTGTGGCCGCGAGATGGCAGCAGGTACCATATTCAAAATTCCGCCCCCCTGCGCTGCGATTGGCTGACTGTTCACCAAAAGACGGAGTTGAGCCAGAGCCGGTTTCTCTGGTTGAGCTTCTCCTTGCCTCTACCAGACAAAGTCTTTAAATGTTGATCTAGATTAGATGTTCTAGACTCCAGTTCTCCTGGACCACAGCTCTGTAAAATTCTTTAATCACACCTGTTTCAGCTTTTAGCAATTACCTACATTAGTTGGATACAAAGCATATAGAGCGTGCAGGCAATACAGGACATACATTATTATATGCAAAAGTTTGTACATCCCTGGTCAGTTTCCATGTTGTGTGGATTTTCTAAGTGATAATAAGTTAAAACATCCTCTGAGAGTGTTAACACAGTTTGTATTTGTTTACTGAAAACTATAAAACAAGCCAAAACCTTTGCACGGACTTTTATAAAACTTTGTGTTATTTTTTCACATACCTTCAGTTCAGTAAATAAACAGTAATTGGGCATTAAAATGTGTTCACTGCGGAGGATGTGTTCATTTATCCTAAGAAAAAGAAACAAAAAACATGGAATTTGACCAGGGGTGCCCAAACTTTTGCATACGACTGCATGTGTGGTTATAGCTACATACATTCTATAGTGTTTACCTAACTGAGGGTGCAGAACTGAAACATCACAGTTAAGAGAACGTTTGACTGAATTAGAAGCTTGAGCTGGGTGAACTCTGGTGTCCTCTGGTAACTCAGGACTCGGGGGTGGTCTTTCCACTAGGCAAATGCGGCAGCCACGCAGGGCCCCCATGAGCCAAGGGGCCGCATGAAAACAGAGGATAGATTTACTGTACATGCGCTTATTTTCAGTAATGTTAGCGCAGCCCACCCCTCAGCCATGGTTACAAGGGACTGTTCCATGTTGTTACCTGAAGACACAACAGTGGACAGACAGTCCGCCATAAACAAGGCAATAAAACGATCATCTACAATGTGGAAAGGAGATCCTTCGGTTTGAATTTCTGGATGTTGAGAGGGAAAATCTGAGTGTAGCAGAGAAACTAAGCATAGGGAGAAAGCAAAAAGGTTGTCGCTTCACTCCCAAAGCGGCGGAGCCCCTAAGGGGCCGTGGTTATTAAAAAAAAATAAAAAAAAGTTAATGACATTGCGTTCCTTCGCAAAGGTTTTGCGTTCCCTTGCAAAAGCTGTGCTTTTGTTGTTCTCTATCTGAGGCGATGCGTCTGCGCGTCCGCCATGTTGGAGCGGTCAAGATCCGCTTGTGAACAAATTCACTTGTACTGAGAGATGAAGAGTCTCAGGATTAAATCAGCCACAACTTCCTTATTACTCAACCGATCTTCACCCATTTGATTTATTATAATCCTCAGACATAGATTAATCTAGACTGCACGAACTGCTCTCGGTAGCTTTTCATTCTTTATTAAGAGATCATGCTAATTGGCCGTCCGGACCAGTGGGAAAGTATTCAGTCTGCACGTGACGTTAAATCCAAGTTTAGCGCGAGCTCCGATAAAACACACGCTCAGCAAATCCATCAATGTGTGAATCACTTCTAATCTTTATACACAGAAGAACGAAGCTAAAGTTGGCTTCCTATTCGCCAGGGTCTTGTTTTCCCGTTCCACCTTAAATGGTGCAGGGGTCACTTTCTGGTGCCTGAAGCTGCACCATTTAAGGTGCAACGGGAAAATTCGAACAAGAAGCTGGCAAATAAGAACGTAACTCCAAGTTAGTGTAATAAGGTGATAATCTATTATAAATATCTACACGGATTAAGGAGTGTAAGTACTATTAAATGAAATAAGCTTAATATAAAACCAAAGGAAAAACAATCACATCAACAGGTTCTCTGTGCATCACCAACCACACGGCCATATCTACACATGAGCATCACACAAACAATACACATCACACAAACATGAGCGTGGATCGCTGCGATCCCTCTGTTATATAATCCTATCCCGCTTTCTGAGAGCAATATTCTTGAACCAGTCTAATTTTGGACAGTATCTTTCTTAAACCGCCGCTCTGTAATGGTACTGAATGCGGTCCAGCAGCGATCTCGACCGCCCTAAAATGGCGGGGCCGTTGACGTGCCTGGCTGGACCCAACGCTGCATCTATGTATGTATATCTTTGTCTGACGAGCATGTATTTTGCGAAGGAATGCAAAACATTGGCGAGGGAACGCAATGTCATTAACTATTTTTTAAACCACGTACAAAGCTAATTTATGTATGTATTTATTTTTTTAGATCAGAGCGCTGCACAGGGTCGGCAGCACATAATGCTAATGCTAATGTAAGTATAGGTAGCTTCAGTGCTTGGATAATTTTATATTACACTACATGTTCTTACTAATTAAACTATAAACTAAAACAGTACAACCCATAAAGACACGTTGCTAAAGACGTTTTTCAAATAGTAAAAAACACCTAGTAGGTGCTGTGAGAGAAAGGCAGGATTTCCGCCAGGCCTGTAGGGGGAGCTGGAGCGGTTAGCTTGTTTCTGTTCGACGTTTGGAGATCCAACAACTTCCACTGGATGCTTGAGGAGCTGCAGTGTCTGATTCTGAGCTGTGAACTTAGAAATGCCTCTGAGGAAAGCTGTGATCGTTCCAGGCAACGGTGCAGGAGATGTGGAGCACTGTAACTGGTATGGTTGGGTCCACAAACAAATCAATAAGGTACGAAGGCGGTGCACAGCTGCAGTGTTTGGGTTCAGGATCCATCATTTGGTGGTGCACGACTGTCTGAACTGTCTGAAACCACGGTAAAGTTAGTTTTGTTTTCGATATTCGTCTTTTCGGCGCTAATAGCATTTGATCGGACTACGGTGGTCAGTACAGACTTACATATTCATGACAGTCCGACCACAGAGAGTGATGCACACCTGTTCTTTTGCGGTTTTGGTGACATTTAACGTACCGCTATTTTGTGTTAATACCATAGAACTGAGACACGTTTTTCAGTCGGAAGGAAAATCATACACTTCTAGACCACGCCCACATCCATGGACACGCGTTTGTTTTCCTCCAAAGCGTTTCAGTGTATTTAAATACATATTTTAATTGTTCGTGCTAACAATAGACACCGCCAAACAATAGAACGTCAATAGCTCCATAAACACTGTGTCCATACACATCTGATTAATTGTGTTATTTACTGTAAATTATGGTTAGAAATACACACCACTTTAATTTAGAAAAAGGACTTTGAATAAACCTGTAACTAAAATGTACTTGCCAATACTTGTCCTAACAGTACTGAACATACCTTACCTGTAAAAACTGATATTACCTGTATACTGATATAGCTAGTTAGCTTGATGCTGGAGGTTCAGTAATTGACAGACATTAGCAGTCTTGAAGGTTCAATAGATCCTTAACCATCTAAAATATTAGTTTAAAAAATGAGAGTGTAGAAAAGAAAACGCCTTATTTAAGTGGATTAAATTGCAAATCAAAAGTTTAAATCCATCAAACACTAAGTGAGTCAGATGTAAGTTTGAAATCTTGTACATTTTTTTCATTTTGAATTTCGATAACATTTTAGACATTGAACATTTAAGTCAGCAGTGTTTGGTGCAGATAAGTTTCAGTGATGACACACAAACTTTGAATGTCACTTGAGGATGCAATGTAGCTAAAATACTGCTTAGATTCAAAATGCAGCATTAACTGCAATTAATGCAGCTGAAATGCTTTTGAAGGTTAAAATACAAATATTAATATAAAGTAATTATTACAGTACATTCAAAACTCAACAGTTGTGTATGATTGCTGAAACTTACCTGCACCATATACAATTGTTTGTAGTGTTGGGTGTAATACAGCTGAAGTGCTACTGAAATTCAAAATTGATAAAAGTTAAAGCAATATATCCAAACTTTAAAGGCTGTGCATCATTGCTGACACCTTGGTGCACCATACACAGCTGTTTTTAATGTTGTAAATAATGCAGCTGAAATATTATTGAAATTCAAAATATATAAAAATTAATAAAAAGTAGTTAAAGCAATATATGCAAACTTTAAAGGCTGTGCATCATTGCTGACACCTCACTGCACCATACACAGCTGTTTTTAATGTTGTAAATAATACAGCTGAAATATTATTGAAATTCAAAATACATAAAAAATAATAAATAGTAGTTACAGCAATATATCCAAAATTTAAAGGCTGTGCATCATTGCTGACACTGCACTGCACCATACACAGCTGTTTTTAAATTTGTATATAATTTAGCTGAAATAGCTTTATATTAATGTTTATGTATTTTGAATTAATAGCATTTCAACTATATTACATACATCACTAAAACCATTGTATATGGTTCAGCAAGATGTCAGCAATCATACACAACTTTTGGATTTTGGATGTAATGCAATAACTGCTTTATATACATTTTTATTTATTTTGAACTTCAATAATATTTCAGCCACATTACGTACAACACCAAAAGTAACTGTGTATGGTGCAGCTAGGTATCACCATTCATACATTTTTTTTGGATTTTGGATCTAATGCAATATCTCATTTAAATAATTTTTCATATTTTTTGAATTTCAATTATATTCCAGTCACATTACAAACAGCACTACAAAGAATTGTGTACAGTGCAGTGAAGTGTCAGAAGTCATACACACCTTTTGGATTTTGGATATAATGCAATAAATACGTTATTTTTTTTTATTTAATTTGAACTTCAACAGTATTTTGCCCATCTTACAAACAACATTAAAAACTACTGTGTATGGTGCAGTGCAGTGTCAGCAATGATGCACAGCCTTTGGATTTTGGATATAATGCAATAACTACTTTATATTAATTTATATTTATTTTGAACTTCAATAATATTTTGGCCATCTTACATACAACACTAAAAATAGCTGTGTATGGTGCAGTGCAGTGTCAGCCATGATTCACAGCTTTTGGATTTTGGATATATCCCTGTAACTACTTTTTATTAATTTTTATATATTTTGAATTTCAATAATATTTCAGCTGCACTATTTACAACATTAAAAACAGCTGTGTATGGTGCAGTGAGGTGTCAGCAATGATGCACAGCCTTTGAATTTTGGATATATTGCTGTAATTACTTTTTATTAATTTTTATATATTTTGAATTTTAATAATATTTCAGCTGCATTATTTACAACATTAAAAACAGCTGTGTATGGTGCAGTGAGGTGTCAGCAATGATGCACAGCCTTTAAAGTTTGCATATATTGCTTTAACTACTTTTTATTAATTTTTATATATTTTGAATTTCAATAATATTTCAGCTGTATTACACCCAACACTACAAACAATTGTGTATGGTGCAGTGAGGTTTCAGCAATCATACACAACTTTTGAATTTTGATTGTACTGCAATAATTACTTTATAATAATATTTGTATTTTAACCTTCAAAAGCATTTCAGCTGTATTCATTGCAGTGAATGCTGCACTTTGAATCTAAGCAGTATTTTAAATGTTCAATGTCTAAAATGTCGAAATTGAAAATGGAAAAAATAACTTAATTCTGACTCACTGAGTTTTTGATGGATATAAAATTGTTTTGATTTGCAATTTGATCCACTTTAATAAGACGTTTTCTTTTCTACACTCATTTTTTAAACTAATATAGATGGTTAAGGATCTATTAAACCTTCAAGTCTGCTAATGTCTTAGGACAAGTATTGGCAAGTACAGTTTAGTTACAGGTTTATTCAAAGTCCTTTTTCTAAATTAAAGTGGTGTGTATTTCTAACCATAATTTACAGTAAATAACACAATTAATCAGATGTGTATGGACACAGTGTTTATGGCGCTATTGACATTCTATTGTTTGGCGGTGTCTATTGTTAGCACGAACAATTAAAATATGTATTTAAATACACTGAAACGCTTTGGAGGAAAACAGAGGCGTGTCCATGGATGTGGGCGTGGTCTAGAAGTGCATGATTTTCCTTCCGACTGAAAAACGTGTCTCAGTTCTATGGTATTAACACAAAATAGCGGTACGTTAAATGTCACCCAAACTGTAAAAGAACAGGTGTGCATCACTCTCTGTGGTCGGACTGTCATGAATATGTAAGTCTGTACTGACCACCGTAGTCCGATCAAATGTTATCAGCGCCGAAAAGACGAATATCGAAAACAAAACTAACTTTCCCGTGGTCTGTCTGAACTGTCTGTAACCTGCTCTACTAACGTTAACATAACGTTGTTGTTCATAAATGGGATCTCAAAAAGCTTAAAAAGGGACACTCTGGCCAAAACTATGTATTAATATGTTTAAATGTTGAACAGAGAGAAGAAGATAGATAGGTAGCTGGGTATCCTTGCTAACTTTAGCTTTTAGCTTGTTTTCCTCTTCAGCTGACAGGTCATTTTACTGGGTTATCCGTTTAAAAAAAAAAGTCCACCCTGAAAAATCAACCTCAAAGTAGGTGTAGTTTTGCGAAGGGACCTCCCACCTTCAAGATACGTCATCGAAAGGGGTTTTCCTAGTCTTTAAACTGGAATATTTTACACTATGAATCACTGTGTGAGAGTAGGCATGTTTACCATTGATGTAGCAACGATTAAATCTGTCATTTTGGCCCGAGGGATCATTTCAGCTTTTTGATTGTGAATTACTGCTGGTGCTCCTGTTTTAGTCCCGAGGTTCATGACCCTGGTCCTGGAGTACCACCTGCCCTGCACATTGTAGGGTTCCCTACTCCCGACATGTTATCCAACTGATCAGCTAACTAACAGGTCCTTCCTGAGTTGAAATGACTGTATTAGAGTTGGTGAACACCTAAATATGCAGGATCAGGGATGTTCCAAAAGACTTGCTCCAGCACATTATAATGGTATCTACTGTGTAAGACTTGCTCTGCTCTACCTTTCAGATTCCAGGTTTGTCCTGCCAGTTAAAAAACATGCCAGATCCAGGTAGGTAGACGAGTTTCCAGATGTTGTGTGTTATGGATCTAATTTAGAAGGTGTGTTTTTTTAACTCCTTCTTGGCTTATTTAACAGTGACAGCCAGGGAGAGCATATGGCTGCCCTTCATGGAGAAGGACCTGCTGTGTGATGAAGAGACAGTGATCATTGGCCACAGCTCTGGAGCAGCTGCTGCTATGAGGTACTGAATGGACAGCTAGGGCTTGAGCTGTGCATTTTTTCATGTTGTACTTTTGCTTAGTGTTGCTTTTACTAGAGTAAAGTTTGAATGAACCAACATCAAGCTTTCTACAAACAGAAGAATTTGAAGGGGTACTCCCACCAAAATGAAAAAAAAAAATGCCACCATTGCTCCATCTGTTGTAAATATGCCCACTCGCCTCCTACAGCAGTGCCACAGTAGACTCTAGGGAAAGTTTTACTGGTCTAAAATCTAGGAAAATCTCGTCTGATGATGTGTGTTGAAGGTGGGAGGACGTCCAGGACCGGAGTTGTGCATCCCTGGCTTAGTGGCTCATAGACGTAGTTTTTTTTGTGACACTCTTGGGCGCTTTACTGGTGTAGTTCTGTTCCTCCGAGACATCTGTGATTCCTCTATTCTCCTCTACCTGGACTTTAGATATGCTGAGACCCACAGGGTATTTGGCATCATCCTGGTGGGCGCCTACACCTCAGACCTGGGAGATGAGAATGAGAGGGAGAGTGGTGAGTCATTTTCTACAAGAAATTAAGAAAAATGTGTTTATTTGTTGTTTTTGTTTTTGTGAAGCTTTATTTTAGACCTTTATCTGAAACCTGCGTGTTTAATTACAGCTTGTATGTCTTTTATTTTGTATATTGTCACTGTTAAACCAAAATCTTACATCTACAAAATATTACCTTTTACATTAAAAGGAAGTTTATATAAAGAGGTTTTATTTCAAGTGATCTTAGACCACTGCTATTGATCCATTCATCATGAAGGTTTCACACAGTGTAAAAGGCAGCTTTTACAAATTCTGTCAAAAAATGAAAAACATACATTGAAAGTTTTGCATATATGTAGCAGTGGGCAATATGGCAAAAATATTATATAGCGATATTTGAAGACATTGTCACGATAAACAACATGCATGACAATATTTAGTTTTTCTATGTTTTACTTAACCGGAACAGACAAAGTAGAAACCGTAGTGCAACAAAATACTATAATAATAATAATAATAATAATAATAATAATAATGATATAATAATAATAATAATAAACCTTCAACTACAATGATTTTTATTCAGTGTTTTACAAACAGCACAGCACTAACTCCAGTTAAACAGGCCTAATTATGCTCTGTGTGTTGTAAAACATGTAGTTAGTTCTTTTAGAACTGATGATATCTATAATATGCTCAGAAAAGTGTGTTGTGATATGATTTATTTTGATAATGATAAAATATCGTCATATTGCCCAGCCCTACATATGTGTATACATTTTCTGTTGTTGTCAAAACATTCCTAACCTAAAACAATTCTATCTTCTCCTCTCTCTCAGGATATTTCAGCCGGCCATGGGAATGGAACAAGATCAGAGCAAATGTGAAGCACATTGTTCAGTTCGGATCCACAGACGATCCCTTCCTACCTTGGGGGGAGCAGCAAGAAGTAGCAGACGGACTGAAAGCAGACCTTCACAAATACACAGACCGTGGACATTTTCAGAATACCCATTTCCCAGAGCTCATTGACTCTGTGCAGAAACTGACAAAAGCTGACTGAGTATGTCACAGAGGCTGCAATTCCAACAGCAGTAATAGTAAGCATGAAACAATCTCATACAACAGTACCCAAAAATAAAAAAATAATAAATTTAAGGTTTAAAGTTTAATGCAGTGTATCTGTATTACCGATACAGGCCACACTTTCTCTCATTTGTTGTTGTTCATGGAAACCATCCAAAGAGGCTTTTATGAAAATCATTTTTATGCTTCAAAAAGTTTGGTGATGTCGACACTGGAAGTGAAATTTTTCAGTAATATTTTAACAACAATTTTTTTTTCTGTTCATAATTGTTTGTTGATACCTGAAACAAAAACATTGGAGAAAAAAATCTGGAAAAAAGAACACATTTATATACACTGATCAGGCATAACATTATGACCTCCTCCTTGTTTCTACACTCATTGTCCATTTTATCAGCTCCACTTACTATATAGGTGCACTTTGTAGTTCTACAATTACAGACTGTAGTCCATCTGTTTCTCTGCATACTTTGTTAGCCCCCTTTTACCCTGTTCTTCAAAGGTCAGGACCCCCATGGACCCTCACAGAGCAGGTACTATTTGGGTGGTGGATCATTCTCAGCACTGCGGTAACACTGACGTGGTGGTGGTGTGTTAGTGTGTGTTGCGCTGGTATGAGTGGATCAGACACAGCAGTGCTGCTGGAGTTCTTAAACACCTCAATGTCACTGCTGGACTGTGAATAGTCCACCAACCAAAAATATCCAGCCAACAGCGTCCTGTGACCACTGATGAAGGACTAGAGGATGACCAACACAAACTGTGCAGCAGCAGATGAGCTATCATCTCTGACTTTGCATCTACAAGGTGGACTGAAAAGGTAGGAGTGTTTCATAGAGTGGACAGTGAGTGGACACAGTGTTTAAAACTCCAGCAGCACTGCTGTGTCTGATCCACTCATACAAGCACATCAGTGTTACTGCAGTGCTGAGAATGATCCACCACCCAAATAGTACCTGCTCTGTGAGGGTCCATGGGGTCCTGACCACTGAAGAACAGGGTAAAAGGGGGCTAAGAAAGTATGCAGAGAAACAGATGGACTACAGTCTGTAACTGTAGAACTACAAAGTGCACCTATATAGTAAGTGGAGCTGATAAAATGGACAATGAGCACACAAACAAACACTAACAGCATGGCAAAGAGGTGAATCTGCTCTGAGGAGGAGAGAAGAGTGTTTTTAAAAGGGACTTTTCAGCTCTTACAGAGACAGATGTCCAAAAAAGGCTACAGCCTTTCTAAATGGAAAGTGCCCAAACAGCTCTACATGGCAGAGATACATCTTCTCTCGCATAACATTTCCAATGGAGAATAATAATGATAATAAAAAAAGAAAATTTCTATATCAGTAGGTTATGGGGAAGTCAGAGAAGCCATTGGTACACAAGTTATGACATACATGAAATTAGAGACGGAAACATGTCAAACACCTTGACCCAAAATGTTTGGCTTCTTATGGGGAAGAATTACCACCAGAGTGGCTCAAACTTTTTTCGCTACAAATAAATGAAGGAAAAACACAGCAACACCTTACAAGCCGTAAAACAGGCCAATAATCCCCATTTATGAATGCACAAAACTTGTTACTGCTGCACTCACATTACAGTAAATCTGGTGGTGCGTTTTATGAATCTGGCCCTTTGTTTAATCTCATCAAGAGGATTTATTTTTTTTACTTGTAATTATAATGTCATGATGGTAAGCAAATACCATTAAGTTTTATTCATTTTTAATGAGTCTTAATGAAAAATGTAACTGAGTGGACCTTTAACTTACCATCGTACTGCCTGACCAGATCTTGTTTCCAAGTTATCAAGTTAAGAAAGGCTGCAGCCTCTGAGGAAAAAGTGATCTGGATGAATGGACCAATTTCAAATAAATAAAGAAGTAGATAAATAATACGAAAACTAATTCCATATGAATTTCAGATGTTCGCAAAATGATTTTGGCAGCTTGAGAAGACTAGAAAAAAAATAATGTATGAATTGCATTGTGGGATTTGTATTCTTCTCTGTGGGTCAAAATAAACAATATTTAACTTTAAATTGTAGCACATGTTGTCCTGTTACTGTAAACCACTGTGAAATAAGAAAATTAAACACTGTAAGGCTGTTTTAAAAACTTTTATTTTTATTCACAGAGCACATAAAAACTGACAGCAACTTTTAAGCAACATAGTGGTTTTACAATAGAAATTCAAGACTTACAAAATATCCATTTAAACATTTACAATAAACCAACAAAAAGCGCAACATAAAGACCTACAAACTCACCAGAAACTACAATAAATGTGTAGGTCAATCCTACTTCAGTATTCTGTTTTAAATGTGAAACAGACTGCAGGAGGTAGGTTAAACCAAAACCCTCTCCGAGTTAAACATCTTTTTGTACAATAATCAAATATTCATCTTAGTAAGCTATGTTAAAGTGAACATGGTAAGACTATTTAATACAATTCTCATTTCTTTGAGGATCAGTAAAATTCTTCCACAGGTGTGGTCAGTAACATAATACATCATCATTTTCATCATTCCTGCTCACTGAGCTCATGTAAACATCAATACTGTAAGCAGTGATGGAGTCAATGAGTTAAATCTGCCATTAGGTTAGCTAGAAGTTTCAGAGGCAGCTTTAGCCTTCTTTTTAACAGAGCAGTCACACAGCATCCTTTCCAAAAAAGGCACTGTTACAGTCAAAGCTGTATATTATTAATGAAGTAGCTTCGTAAAAGTAGCTTTAGTGGAACGAACGGATGTGCAGGAGCTCAGATTATGAAACTATATACTGCAAGAGTTAGTTTTAATTAATCAACACTGATTATAAGCAAGAAATAATTTAACACAACAAGTTTTCTATAAATCTTGTATTAAGATTAATAGTTAATTCTGTTTTTAGAAGTTCATCCACCAATTTTTCCAAAATTTCTGCATTAATCAATTGTTGAGATGTAAACAGCTTTTATATGTAATACTAGCAATACAGTGGTAAATCAAAAAAAAAAAAAAAACTATTTTGGGTACTATTTTGTCTTATAACACCCTACAAAACATCTTTGTGATTAATGTATTAAAAAAAAATACATTTTAGGCCAAAACCTTATTTCTGTGAGGTAGCTTTCAGAGGACTTAAACTGACAGACAGACATCTGGTTCCTGTCACCACCATTGTGAACAATTCTGACTTAGCAAGTTTCTCTAGAATGGAGCATTTCACATCAAACCACTCTGAATGACTGTTTATATTGTAACAATGTTATTATACAGATTTTTTTTTTAAATTGGGTGGAATTTTGCTTCTTAAAAATCTCATTATCCCAACCAAGCCTACATGCTTGTTCACTACAGTCTTGAAAAACTGCCATGTATTGCTTGGGTTGACTACCTGAGAGGACAAATGCAAGGTGCAAACAGCTAACACTGAAACCACTTACCACTCAAACACTGTCTTAAACCCACAATTTATTCCCTCAAAGAAACATTCCACTTTTTTTTTTTTTGCAGTCAAGTCTTGTTATGACGTCTATTTGTCTCATTAGACCAAGCATTAGTTACATAACTAATTTATTATTTTATTTATTCTTATCTTATTTTCCAGTTGCACAAAGCTTGGTGTTTTTCTACAGGATTAAGACTTTTAATTTTTGGGTGGAATGTTCCTGAAGGCAGGATTTAGTCTGAAGCAAAAACAACAGTTCACTATGTTGCTTTACTTTTCTTCCTTGCTTTGGCGTAGCCTCGTCCAAACCACCCACCCTTTATTACATTCTCTTCAGCTTTACTGCTTGAATTCGGCACAGAGTCCACCAAACCAGCTGGGGGCACTAGCATTTTACGAGTGTGACTGTGCTCTTCATCTGGTCTGAGGGGGGTAGCTACACTGAAGATGGGGTCCTCTGTTCTGTTATTGAAATAAACACTGATTAGTGATAAGTACGCTTAAACAGAGATGTAAAAAGGTAATTTCTTAACCTGGAATGCTGGACAACTACATACATAAATCAAGCATTTCACTATATAGTGTTATTATTTCATGTTAGCTGCACTGTAGTATCTCCAAAATACTACCTTACTGAAAATCTTTCAAGAGAGTGAAAAACAAATGTCTTAATTTTGAATGGAAGTTGATGGAACAAGATTGGTTTTTAGGGCATTTCTCTTAATCTGTTTATCATGATATTTTAACACAATGTAGAGAACAGAGATAGGCTCCTGCACCCCCCGCGACCCAGAAGGATTTAGATGATGTGTATGTGCGTGTGTGTGTGTGTGTGTGTGTTTGTGTGTGTGTGTGTGTGTAGGGTACAGATGGCATTTTCCAATTCGACAAAAAATTAAGATAAAACATTTTGCTCTGACAGAGACGCTATGCTAGTACTTTCTGTTACACAAAGTTTAAAATTTAAAGAAACACTATGTAAGATTCGGGGGTTTGGAGACCTCTCTGGTGGAAATGTGTAATTGCATGCAATGTGCAGAAGAACATTTTGCAACTTTGGTTGTTCAAACAGAAGGGAAATGTCTGCAGCCATGTTAAGTGAAGACAAATGTTGATGTGAATTTTGAAAAGAAATCCCAATAAGTGAATTAACTTATAAAAACAATTGTGATTCAAATTGTAAATAAATGCCACCAAAAAGGTACGTAAACACCATTTGAGCTCCACTGCATCTGTATTAGTAAACACTATAGTACACAGCGTAAAGGTGACCAATAAGACACTGAGAGGGTTACTTGCCTGTTATAGGTTGGTATTTCCATATCCAGCAGTTCCATTAGAAGACGCATTACGTCGTCACATTTTCCATGAATTTTCAGAGTGGCCAGTTCATCTTTTGGTGTCCACTAAGAAAGAAAGAAATAGTTTATTTATTTATCTTTAAATCAACATATGAGTCAATTAGGACTCACTATTATTAGTCTTTTCTCCATGTGCTGACATCAGGACACAAACATGGTGAAGGCAATTTTACCTGTAAGTTGACGATATATAGCTTTGGTCTTTTAGCTGCTGGCCTTTTCATGCACCACAAGCAAGCATACTTCTTCAGGACCTGCCGGAGGACCACATGCAAAATCAGAGACGTCACCAAAGATCAGAACAGGAACGTGTAGAAACAGAATGTGAAAGTCGCTGCCCCACCTTCAGACTGGAGCCGAGGCAGAGGATGAGGTCTGCCTGCTGTGCTGCCTCAGCAGCTCCTTTCCAGTTCAGAGGCTGTTCCAGTGTGCCCCGCTCGCCGAAATGCACGATAGTGTCCCTCAGCTCCCCACCGCAGTGTGGACACCTCCGGCCTGTCCCGTGCCTGTGCAGCGCAGTGCGCTCCGTCACATCAAACAGTCGGATCACCTCCCGTGCCGGAGAGCACGAGAGGCACACCTGTTTGGAATGAAGGGGCATGTTTAAGCAGGGGTGATAAGAGTATACACAATGACCAAAGAAGGCAACGCACCAATATTTCTAAAAGCAAGTGAAAAATCTAACATACACAAATTTGCCGTTACTCCAAAACACGGTCAGTCAGCCAAGATACTGGTCTCAAATTATGATTTAATCTTAAATACACTTGCATATGTTGGTTTTGACACTGTATATTTACTGTTAAAAGTTTGTTGCATAGCTAAAAACAGTACTAACAGTCATTGTGAAGCCAAAATTTTGTCAATACTTTTGTCCATTTTTAGAGATTACAGAAAGTCACAGTATCAGAAACCACAAAAGCAAATCTGTTTCAGATTATTTAATAACTCAACATGGTTTGAGGCAAATGTCTGAAGATTGTTATGATTTTATAGACTTTGCATCATGTCTTGGCTAGTGGGCTACATTTGGGGTAAGGGGAAAATTAAATTACATTGTTTATTTGCCAAGTATAAAATTAAAACATGCCAGTTTGAAAACAAAGTATTTTATTTATATTTATTATTATCCTGCTGTGTAAGAAACTGAATAAGCAAGCAAAGATTTTGTTCTTTGATAACTAATGATTTGGTCAGTGATGGACATCTATAAAGAAGTGAGCGTCACCTCTATGAACATATTCCCATGTAGCTCAGAGAGGGCGTGTCTGGGAAGGCCACTGCGCAGGTGGAGACCGTCACAGTTCTGGGAGACCACATGCTGAACCTGTCAATTAATATGCACACAGTGTTAGAAGCATATTATATACATAGGTAGTAAAAATGCACCATGTCAGTGCAATAAATGGGAAACTTTACTTGCTCTTATTGGTCCAATTGGAATTAGGGGTGGGCAATACAACAATATTCATCATTATAGTGATAAATCATGCCACAATTTGTTTGAGTTTAGTGCTGTACAGTATGTGAAACACTTCATATTTTACAGTACTTCTTTTTAAAACGTGACACTATTGGTTTTATTTTCTAGTTTTAACTTACCAAAAGACATAAAAAGTAGACAGTGTAATGGATATTTTGTATTATAAAATATCTTTAAGTATTGTGATGTTGTATTTTTAGGGGATGACCAGTACGGGAACTGTGGGCCAATATCTGGTCTTTTCCATGTATATATCTGCTGATGCCGAAACAAACATTTATAAAATGTAGAAATAAGGTCTAAATTTTTTTCTGCAGGATTACAAATGCAATAAAATGAACAAAATGCACAGTAACCCAGCATCGCCTAAACATCCTGCTCATCTGGAGTACAATAACTTTGTCATCCTATATCGATTTGAAACATCAGTTAAATATAAACATCTGTCCAACATCAGTAATTTTGTCTAAAGCAAATGTCTGATAATGATATGATTACGATATCACTGCCCAACCCTAATTACTACTGACTACTGATTAGCATTTTCAAATCTTTTCTAACTCACTATAATGGATAGTATTATGGATAACACCACAGGTCTTAAACGCTGGAATGCCATAGTAATACTAACAAGAGTCCTTGGGCAAGGCTCCTCATATTCTATTAATTTACCATTCTATGTACCTCTAGATAAAAGCATCCACTAAATGTCTAAATGTTTACAATAATTGGTTTGGCAGTGTACTGTAAATCCATTACTAAAACTGAACAAAACTACCAAAACTAAACATAAACTTCTGAAAGCAACTATGTCTTGGTAATGTAAATCAATTATACATCTTTCACAGACAAATACCAACAAGCATAAACCAGGTTTTACAACACACGGTTTTAAGCCTTCTCATTTTTTCCAAGACGATTCCAGCCTTATTTTAGCTTTATTTTAGCTTTATTTTATTGTACATACCATTTTAACTTTGTGTAACATCCGGATACACATGTGAGTCAAAGTTGGTTCTGCATCACTGAGATCAGAAGCCCTGTGGAACAGAGAAATAATTTTCAGGTGATCCTAAAAGTCCTGTATCTCACTGAAAAATGAAGTTGTATGCTAAAAAACACTCACGCAACAGTCCGTCCTTTCTGTAGCTGTGTCCATACTCCGTTTGGGCCGCGGTAATCGGGGATGGACGCAGCCTGGCAATCATTAAAAGGCATTAGAAACTTTCATGACGTGTGCAGTATACAAAGCAAAACCACTGTGACCGATGCTGACAGTACCGTGCTGATACCGGCTCCTGTGTAGATAACAGCATGTTGGGCTTGTCGCATCGCTTCAGCCAGCTGTTTCACTTTGGTTCTCAGATCATCAGCATCATCAAATAGCTGCAACCAGCACAGCACAACAACAAAGAGGCAGACTGATGATCAAAGTAGTAAAAATTCCAAAGTATTTAATGACAGAATATAAAAATAATGGTTAAAGGGCCCATACTTGTTTTGAATTCCCAGCTTTTGTGATGTCACAATAAACTGCATTTACATAGCTCTGCCCATTCAGTCTGCAATTCATGTGTTTCAACCCAGACTGCTTTTTAAACAGGGCAAAATACAGAGCAGCCAATGACAACAGAGCTTATTAACATTCAGTGGTCTTAAAGGCACAGCAACAAAAACAGCCTGTTTAATTCTAAAGGATAAAGAAAAGTTGGAAAATGGTCATACAGAAATGAATTATAATTGGACTTCAAGGACAAAAATAAAACGCAAGGAAAGTAAAAGCTATGGGCCTTTTAAGCACGACCTCAGAAATGAAACAGGGCTTAAGAAGCAGGTTGCCAAACTCACCTCTTCTTGCTTCCTTTTCAGGATGTTTCTCCGGATCTGTCGCTTGCCCAGCTCTTGAACAGTGTCCTGATGACGCTGAAGCAGAGCACACTCCTCTTCAGTTCGCTCACATTCAGATTTCTTCAGTATTCTGGCCACCTGTACAAAACCAGATTGACCAGCAGAGTGTAGTACTGCTGCACAAGTGAAAAATGCCAGTTCACCAGATATGGATTAAGTCTAATCTTAGACTAAACTGCTTTCCCAGAACTAGATAAAGCCTAAGCCTGGACTAAAAAGAATTCCCTGTGATGTTCCACCATTGGTACTGCAATTTAGTCCAAGACTAGGTTTCATCAATGTCTAGAAAACTGACCCAGATTAATGTGATTTACCAGGAGGGCTTCCAGGAAACTCTCCATTCATTGTTTCCCACTTACATTAACGTGGCTCTTTCATATATATTCTGTAAACACTGTCCATTGTATATACCATAGAAATGATCAATATATACCTATCTATTTAACACTATTTAACAAAATCTCGTTGATATGTTTGAAGGTGGAGCGTCTGCAGGCAGCTAGGGCTGTTTTACCGGCTACACTACTGGCTAAAATGAATGTGCTGTACATCCGGCCTATATATTTCTGGAAGAAAATAAAATTGTTTATGTACTGTTCGTGTACTCACCAGTTTAAATGTCTTTCTCTGGGTCTCCTTCTGAATAAGTTTAGCTTTTTCCTGAGCTTTTCTCTCCGCTCGAGAAAGCACAGCATTCTCTGTTTGGGTCTCCATTTTTGTGAGGCTCGTCTTCCTGATCCCAAACAGAACAGACCTTACATTTCAAAACAAAAGTCTCAAACAGCGTTTTGATTTACCACCACTTAACATTTCAAATTGAACGTGAGACTGTAATAAAAAAAATAGAAATATATAATAATAATAATAATAATAATAATAATAATAATAAGAATAATAATAATAATAATAATAACAATAATAATAATAGTCGTTCTATGGTCATGAGTTCATTGTTTTTGCTACTATTTATATGAATAAGACTTCAGCCAACAGAAGATTTAACAGAAGTATAATTAAACAAAGAAATAACTGTAAACGGTATGTTGTAAGGATGTACAATAATATTGGAATCATATTGGTATTGGTGCATATAAAATCGATGTCTATGGAGCCTAACATATTGAAAATATTGGAGCTCAACGTGTTAAATTTCCATAAGAGTACATTCCGAATATGCTAAAAGCGGCAACAAAAAAGCTTTTTCTTTTGGAAACACATTTATGTCATATGTTTTTGCTTTTTACCTTCTACGTTTTTTTTTACCCATGGAAACCTTTATTTTGAAAACCATTCACTAAAGTCTGTTTTCTGATGCTGCGATTTAGATGCAAAACGGTGGAGATTTGCGACGCTTTAAAAGCTTCTGTTTGAGAATAACGAACAAACCCGCTGAATTTGGACCCTCTCATATGACACCGTGCTCAGAACACATTTAAACTCTTATGACCTGACCGACTGCAGCGCGATTTAACAGTTGAAATTTGAGGCTCTGACGAGCTAACGCTAACCAGCCAGCTAACGCTAGTAAACAGCGGGGCCTGATAATGAACACCAACACGAATGTGGTTCAGGTGACCAATGTTTCTCCAAGCGCCACCTCGGAGCAGATGAGGACACTTTTCGGCTTCCTGGGGAGTATTGAAGAGCTTAAACTGTTCCCACCTGAGTGAGTAGCTACAACATGCAGTCCGCCAGCGTTGGTTTAACGTCCTAGCTTGCTAGTTGTCACCACTGCCGCGCTGTGAAACTGAACGTAGCCGTAATATTTCCTAACACCGAGCTCTCACTTTGTTCGCCAGACGGTCAGACAGCTTCTTTCTGCTCAACTAGTTCATGATTCTTTTCATGCTAACGTAGTGAGTCGGTTTCAGGTAACATCTTGGACACCTTGCTAAGCTCAAGGAAACTTCTGTTCCATTAGTATTAAAGCTCCTCATTATTTCCCCTGCCTGGCTGTATAAGTCGCAAAAGAAGGTTGAATCGCGTAGACTGCGATTCTTGCTGTAGAGGCAATAGATCTAGTTGCTTAAATTGCCCATATGCTGCATTTTCTAGTATTTTCTTTTTTCCCCAAGTGGTATTATGTATGTGTTTTTACATGATCTCTCTCTGTCCTTTAGAATTAATGGCTGTTTTTTACTGTGCCTTTAAGACTAACATATGTAAATGATCAGTGTTCTGATTGGCTGTGTTGTAGCTGTTATGCCTGGCGAACTAAGCTGCTTAGTAGAAGTATCTTCACTTTTTGTGACATCACAAAAACAGTGAATTCAAAACAGGCTGTTTTTGCAGCTTAGTTTCCACCTATGAACTGAGGAGTGATACCGTTTGGAAAACTTAACAGTGATTACATACATTGAGTTCTTTCAAAGCCTTGAGGGGAAAAAATAGGTTTTCAATTATATGAGCCTTTCAATTCTCAGACTAACCTTGAATTACTAAAAATGTGGTTAACCAAAAGTGGAGGTCTTCCATTAGGGAATCTATACATCCAATCATAATGTGCTTTCTGTGTTCATACAAGTATCTAAGTGGTTGACCAACTGACCTAAGTGTAGTGGAAGGTTCATCCGTGTAAGGCAGTAGCAAACCTGGTTAACCATGTTAGTGCCTCAGCAATGTGAAAAGACTGGCATGTTAATTTGACCCCCAGAGGTTTAATTTAAGTAATATTGGAATCATGATGGTATCAGTGCATATAAAATCGATGTTTATGGAGCCTATTATATCAGAAATATTGGAACTCAGCGTCATAAATTTCCATATAAGTACATTCTGAATATGCAGATAGTGGCAACAAAAAAGCTTTTTCCTTTGGAAATTCATTTATGTCATCTGTTTTTTAAATCCATGTAAGGCAATAGTAAACCTGGTTAACCATGTTAGTGCCTCAGCAATGTGAAAAGACTGGCATGTTAATTTGACCCCCAGAGGTTTCATTTAACTGACTAATTTTTGAAGAAAATCAGTACTTTTAGTCACGGTAGTCAGAGTCTGACCTCTGACGAATGGTCTTTTGACTCACTGGACACAAATTCCCACAGACACGCTTAAAAATCTTGTGGAAAACCTTCCCAGAAGATCAGACTAACTCAATACTAATGCCTATGATTTTGGAATGGGATGTCCAAGAAGCTTATATAGGTTTGACAGTCAGGTGTCCACATACTTTTGGCCATATGGTGTGTTATTGAGTAGAACACAGCATTTAAACATTAGGGGTGTATTGTCCCTAGTAGCTAACTTGTATTCTGCTTTTTGTTATTTTTCATCTGTCCAAAAACATCAGGTCATAACTCCACATCATAACTGCAGTTCAGGTAGGACTTGCCATGGAGTTCATTTAACGGCAGATGTAGAGAGCTGGGATGGAGCGTCTCAAATAAACTACACAGAATTTGTTTAGGCTGTGCAAAATGTTTAAGCGGGTTTGATTGGAGAAGGTGTGTCTAAATGTTAGGGCTGTATGTACATCTTGCAAAAGCCTTTATATTTTCTTCCAGTGATTCTCCCTTGCCTGTGACTTCACGTGTCTGTTTTGTAAAGTTCCTCGAATCTGAATCAGTTGGAGTTTCCCAGCATCTGACGAACACGGTCTTCGTGGACAGAGCCTTGATCGTCGTCCCATTTGCTGAAGGTTTGTGCCCATCTTTAAAACAGCAGGGTGCTCGGTTGTATGTGATATTTTGACATTGACACATGATCCAACCCTTTAGACCCCCACAGTCTTGGATATTGAGAGTAACTTCAATGGCCACCATTCAGCACATTAATGTGTATGTTTATTAAACACACAGATGTTGCGTGAGCTGAAGATTGGTCTGAATGAACAGATCAGTTCCCAGCTCACGTTTGCTCACGGCGTTTTTACTTCCGTTTTTTGGTAAACTTCTCTCTCTGTGATTTGTGTGTGTGATTTTTGTAGTGGTCAAGGCAATTGCAGAGCCGGCTGGTGACTGACAGGTCCTGTCAACTGTCAACATGGAACTGTAGAAAAAAATAAAGGCCATCAAGTGTTGAGCCCACAAGCTGTCCTGCTGTAAAACTATATTGCTTTGTTACATATGTGTCTCTTTGATGTTTTCCTGAGGATGTAAAATGAGTTCGGATGCATTAAGTTGTACAGTATGCATATAGAATGAATTTTAAAGGAGTATTTCAGCACTTTGTTGATCTGCATCATACTGTCAGTTACCTTGAACATTAGTTTCGATGTATTTTCCTGTATAAAGGAAAAAAGAACAGAGAAACCTTTTAACTCAATACATGTTTATAACAGAAGCCATTGGGCAGTTGCTGAATTTCCTCAATAAACATTTATGCGAAATGTATAATTGTGGAACACTTCCATATATTCTTCAGTCAACAAGATCTGTAGATGAAATATTTGTAAATTACGTCTGGGTGATTCATTCTGTCAGAGATGAGAATTTATGGTTATTCATCACATGCTCCATCTGATCGTGATTGATACCAAAAAACCTTTGGGAAAGTGAAGGAAACCAGTAACTGGAATGTTGGATAAAACTTGGTAACAATAGCTTTTGTAAGCTGTCTGATCCTGAAGTCCTGTATTGTCAGTGTAACAGTAAAAATTTATCATTATATTGTAACATATTTCAGATGTTTATCCACAGAATTCAGCAACTGCATATTGGCTTCTATCATAGTATATACAGGTTTTCTGTTCTTTATATAGGGAGTATTTAGGGATGGGCAATATGGTATTTATTGTTATTGTCATATCGTATATTGTGGATATAGTCTCTACTTGAGCAACTGCTGGTATCATTACAAAGAGAGCAAAATTAGTTCTGTTTTAATAAGATTTAGTGTCGTACAGTATGTGAAAGGCTAAATATTGTTTGTATAAAATCATTATATTCATAGGTTTTTAAAAAACTTTTTAAATGTGGTACTACTGATGATTTTTGGTCTGTTCCAACTTAAGAAGCCTCAGAAAAACTAAATACTGTGATTCATGTAGAGCCTGTTTACACCTTGCATTAACATCTGTTTCGTGTCCAGATCGTATCTAGATGAACTTAGGCTGGATTCTGTTTACACATTTTGCAAAAATCGGTCTTCAGTTTGACCAAATGAGGTCCGATTCAGCTTTTTTCTGTATAAAAAGCACGTCAGCACATAGTCGTTTTTGTTTCGGTTTCCCCCAGTTAGAGGACCACCTTGGCCTGTACACTTTTACTGGCCCAGAGTGCATGAAGGCTCTTGATCTCGGCCTAATTTCAGCCTTGTTTTTCCTCCATCTTTCGTTTCATTATTTGTTCTCTCACCTGTTAGTCAGCCCTCAGCGGACACTTTTCCACTCACATAATTAGATCGAAAACTCATTCTGTTTACACTTGGTAAACATGGTCAAGATCCGTTTCTGACCAACTCTGAATGTGGTTTGAGTGATCTGATTATAATCTGCTCACAGTGCGTCCTGGGAGTGTTTACATCTGGCTTTTCATGCGATCAAGTTAAATCTGAACGTGATCTGATCACCAAAAACACGTCAATGTGAGGTGTGAACAGGCACGTAGTGTATTGTGAAAATGACAAGGTATCGTGATGATATGCTTTTGTCATATTGCCCAGCCCTAAGAGTATAGAGAGATCTATAGAAAGCTGCTGTCTGTAGTAAACAGTTTTGCAGTGTAGACACTTTTCATGTGGCGTTTTTCCACTGGGCAGTGCGATAATCCGTCATCACACATTTCATTGTCGTTTCCTCTACCAAGTGAGCTGTACTGTATCTGCGTACCCATGATGAGTTCACTTACCCTTCTTGACGAGTACCAAGCATGCCAAGCCAGAGCGTATGGGTGGAGCTGGTAATAGTGCAAACCACTGACTGGTCAAACGTAAAGATCACAGAATCATCAGTCGGTGCCCCTGGAGTCCAGTAAAAATGGACAATGACATGATAAAACTAAATACATAATAAAAGATAAATTAGAGCTTAACTCCTCCATTGTTGCTACTTTTGCGTTTTCTATTAACACTACTTGCATGTGAGAAATCATTATGTCCACACAAGCTAAACAGGGCTCTTCCTACATTCACAGTCCTGGTACGCAATGGGGTACGAATAGTTCTGGGTTTGGTTTTGTAACCATACTGTGCTGTAGTGTACTGCCCAGTGGAAAACCGCCAGTAGTGGGTGGGTTGAAAAATGCCAGAGTTTTCCTTTAAGTCTAAAGGTTTTGCATGCAATTGTGGAGCTGTAAGCTCTGGGGTTGGTAAATGCACATTTGCATTGCAATTTAAGGCACTTTTCCCACTTATTCTCACTGTGGGCTTTTTCTGCGTTTACATGCATTATTCTCCATCTGACACAGTTCAGTCATTACAGTCAGTGTGATGGTCTAGAATGTCCTGTTGATCCTCTCCACATGACTCAAAAGGCTGAAAACCTTTTTTTTAACAGTGGTTTTCTGTTTTTTTTGTTGTTTTTGTTTTTTTTGTGTCTTCCAGTTGTTTTCCCTGGTTCTGCCAGTTCTAAAAACCAGACCCAGCAGAAAAAACCACCCAGCAGTTTGCAGCTTGTCCTGTTTCTCAAGTGTTCTTCTCTCTCTCTCTCTCTCTCTCTCTCTCTCTCTCTCTCATTCTTGTGCTTCTGCAATTCAGCACAGATAATCAATTTGTGTGCAGTAAAACGTTAATTGCAGATTTGCTTCATCGCTCCATGGATTCCATGCATCACAAAAATGCCATTATTTAACTCTCTTTTCATTTTCCTCTTCAGCATTTGGCAAACTCTAAACTCTATAGTGGAGGTAAAGTGCGCTTTTGCTGGCAGGACACTCTCATTCAATCCTGCTTTTTCAGCACATACAGTACTGTGCAGAAGTCAGAGACCCCCCTTCATTTATTTCATTTCTAGCTAAAATGGCCATTAAATACAAATTATTAGTTGTTCAGGAGGAAAATAGTAAAAGTATATGTTACAGAAATATACACAAAAGGCTTAACTAAATATAACTTAAACTTTCAGCATTTAATGTATCCACTCTTTGCCTTCAGTACAGCTTTAGTTCCTTTCAAGAGAAATCTGCAGGAATATTGTTCCACACCTTCCAAGTTCAGTCTTAGAAGTTGGTTGCATTTTCTGCTTCCAAGTGATCCCAAACACATTTAGTGATGTTGAGGTCTGGGCTCTGGGATGGTCAGTCCATTGTTCTGGGAACACCAGCAGCTTCTTTGTGTGATTTAAAAAATGTTATTCTTTTTTGTCTATTTCCTTTTCTCAGTAAGGGCCTCCTGACAGCTACACCTGTGGATTTTTTCAGATCTGAAGTTAGAGTGGAGCTTGATTTTCTCCTCTCTCTCAAAGATGAAAGCTTTAAGTGCTATTTATCTGATGAGGACAGTTTTGGTGGTCTGCCAGGTCTTTCAGGTGGTTGTTAGGAGTTGTCTGAGTATCTTCTAATCACTTTTTGAACTCCAGTTCCGCTTATTTATTTAATATGCCTTATGCATAGATTATCTTACATTAAATCCCCTCAGAAATGTTTATGGGAAAAAATAATCAGTTGTGCTTAATGGCTGTTTTCACTGAAAAATAAATAAATGAAGGATGGGCTTTTGCACAGCGCTGTAAGTTGCACTCTTATCTGCACTTGAAAGGCCCTACATGATGTTATCTGAGCACATTTATGGACACCAGCAAAAGCCTTTTGAAAAAAAATAATATTTGCTAGATTTGATTTTGTGTAGTTAGAGTAAATCAACCCATTAGTAATGAACTGTCATGTGATGTTGACCCCCGAATCATAAACTCTGTTTTGTCTATCTTGATGTTTCTGTGTGCTTTGTAGCGAAGCAGCCGACGTGAGTCGCTTGTTCATAAAACAGCTAATGAAACAGAGCACATCCCACTGGACAGCCGGCTGTGCTTGCTTACATTTGGTTCATGACTTAAAAAAACAAGTTCAGGTGATAACATCTTGGCAGTGTGTCTAGTGACTGTATTTTTCTCTTTGTAGTATCATGCAATTATGTTTCTGTAAAGGGACCTCATCTCATAGATACATCTGAAAATCGAGTTTTGATGTCAAATGTAGACTTGGAAAAACTATACTGTCTTGACTTTGTGGGTCTGTTTGTGTTGCGAATGTTCCAAAGGTCTCGTTTTAATTACTTTATCTTTCTTTTTTTACCCCTACGCTGCAGGAGTTATTCCTGATGAGTCTAAAGCTCTGTCACTGCTTGCTCCAGCCAATGCCGTTGCAGGATTGCTGCCAGGGGGCGGGCTTCTCCCCACACCCAATCCAGTGCCATCTGTAAGCATTGCTCATTCTCTGACATACATTCTGTATAGATTCATGACAAGAATGTGTGTGTGTGTGTGTGTGTGTGTGTGTGTGTGTGTGTGTGTGTGTGTGTGTGTGTGTATATATATATATATATATATATATATATATATACACACACACACACACACACAACAGTTAGTTCCAGCTACGCAGGCTGATTGGTTGAGAAGCGTTCTAACCGTTATTTCGCCATAACAACGACTTTGACAGCTGTAGGAGACGCTCAAGCCATTTGAACGTTTTTGCCACAAACAGAAAATGGACACTTCTAAGATCACATTTGACCGGCAGCCGATTTGGTCAGACTCTGAAGATGAGACTACACTAAATTCCCAAACTGTCATCACCACTGAGCAGCTTTTCAGATATGCAGTTACTATACAATGGTTGTAATTGTTGGCAGGTTGTATATAATTGGTCTAAATCAGTTTTTTAACGATAAATGTAGTTGTTCAGTGTTCTCATGATACCCATGATGCATTCAGAAATATGTATTGTGACAGAATGTATCACGATAATGGTAATATATCATCATATCATTCACCCCTAATTACTGATTCACCATTTTAACATATTGCAAGGTGTTCTGCAGTCACAATATATTGCATTATAGTCTTAATACAAGTATTAAGGACTGGATTAAGAATCACTGCTCTAGAGCAAGGGTTCATGTATTGTTCTCAACTTTTTGTTTTCTTGTGATCAACAGATTGGCGGTGTTCCTCTTGGCGGTCTTGGAGGGCCTGCCATAGATGCAATGGCTGCTTTGGGCATGCCTGGACCCAACATGAACCCTCAGGTTTGACACAAAGATTCTTCTCAGAGCTCCTTAAAATAGCAACCGCCGCACCTTGTGGTTAGGTTATGCTCATTGGGTCAAACCACCATCTTGATTCTTTTCTCTTTAGTCTTTGTCAGCAGAACAGCTGATGAAGATTATGGCGTCAATGGATCCCAAGTACGCATTTGATTATTGTCTTTGAGTTAATCCAGTTTTATTTTATAAGCATTTTGTTTTGTAGTCTTCACTCAGGCCTTAATAAATGATCACAGAGTACAGTAACCTACATCACTCAGATGCTCCTTTTGCAGGTTGAACCCTATGGCTGCTGGTTTAAACCTGAATCCTGGACTAAAAGCAGATGCCTCAAACAAGGAGATTGAGGAGGCCATGAAGAGGGTGAGAGAGGCCCAGTCACTCATCTCTGCTGCCATCGAGCCTGGAAGTGAGTTGTAACATCCATATTTCTATGAGAAAATCAGGCTTTGTAGCAGTGCCAAAGCATACCATTCAACAGATCAAGCTTTTTTTATATGGACGACTGTATTGCATGTGAAATTCATATGAATATCCCTTTTAGATAAGAAAGATGACAAAAGGAAGCATTCACGATCAAGGTCAAGGTCACGGAGGAGGAGATCAAGGTCCCGCTCCAAATACAGGTCCGGAAAAAACCTTTAGAAAGACTGTAGAGCATCTCAAGTTAGACAGTGTGGCATGAGTGCTACCACTTGTGATTCTCTGAGCTGGAGGCTTTTAATTGTTATTTCCATAAAATGCTCCCTGTTGCAGGCGCTCCAAGAGCCGATCCCGGCGGAGGTCGCGCTCCAGGAGCAAGAGGAGGTCAAAGAGCCCCAGAAGGAGGAGATCTCACTCCAAGGACAGGAGCAGACGTTCTAGGTCAAGGTAGGTAGAGCAGCAATGGAGGTCACTGTCTGCAAGATTAGTTTTAGGCCTATTAGTATTGGGCAAAAAAAATAAAAATAATTATTAAAAGAAACTATTTTTTCTATATTAATAATGCACATTTGAAGTACTTCACAAACACATGACTGACCAGGAGGTCCTTTCCTGAAAAAAAAAGAACAGTTCTAAGCCCAGTCAACAAAGACTAAGCCAGTGGTCCTGTTCTGTCCTTAGGAAGCCACATATAACAGGGCTTCTTCATCTGGGACATTGTGAGTAAGGAAATCACCTACTGATTTATTTGGTGTTTGTTGCTTTGTATAGGGATCGAAGGAAAGAGGATAAGGGGAGGAAGCGTTCCAAAACTCCGCCGAAAAGCTACAGCAGTGCCAGACGCTCCCGCAGCACCAGCCGGTAGGTTCACGGCAGCATTTCAGCATATAGCATCTCAGGCATGGCGTGAAGTGTAGCTATCCGCACAAACCTTTTGCACCCATTTTACATTTTATTAATATTTGTTTTCTTCTACAACAGTGGTCAGCAAGAGCGTGCATGCATTTTGGTGCTTGCGAAATATTCAGATAACATTTGAAGTAAAACTAAATGATGGAGATGAATAGAATTTGCAATGACAAATTAACAGAGAGCCTCAAAGCTAAAGCTGTTGCCTTAGCTAGTCTCTAAGTTAACCTGTACTCTTAAAAAAAGTTGGTTCTTCAAGGGATCTTTAGTAAAGACACTGGTTCTATATAGAACCATAAACACTCAAAGAACCATTTGCATACTAAGTTCTTTGCATGGTGAAATGGTTCTTCCAATGGATGGAGAATAATGTTTTATATGGCTTCTTGAAAATGGTTCTGGTTCTTTTGAATAGGGTTCTGCTATTTTTACGATGTCAAGCTTGTAACAATAGAAGAACCCTTTTTGATGCTGTATAGAACCATACACATCACATTCTCCATCAATCTGAAGGACGATTTCAGCATGTAAAGTACTGTTTAGGCATGCAAATGTTTTTTTGGGTGTTCATGATTCTGTATAGAACTATTGTCTTCATTCTAACTTTACCCTTTAAGCCTCAAAGAACCATATTCTTTAAAGAGTGTAGTTAGTTACATTGTTGTGATAATAGTTAGAGTTGATGGAGCTAGGAAACCAATAAAAGCAGCTTGTCATTGGGCCATTTACAGTTTTCTCAGATAAAATCAGTAATGATGTTCTTAAAATGCTGTTTTCAAGGTTTCAAGGACCACTATAAACATTCAAGATGCAGTGTTGGATAAAACTAATAGATTTCAGGCTATTAAAGACAATATCAGTTAATGCCAAAAAAGCTTATTGTAAAATATAATTCCATTTGGAAAACAGCAGCCCACTGCTCTACAACCATACGTCCACTCTTCAGATACATGGGATAATCTGTGTCTAGTTTCTGTTTTCAGTTTAAGGTCAGTGTTCTCCTGCACCCTTTCTCTCAGCAGACGACACAGGAGGAGCCGCAGTATGTCTCGCTCACCTAAGAAGTCCAGATCTCCTAAGAGGAGGCTCTCTAGAACTCCTTCTCCCAGGAGGTACAGCTCAGCACTACCAGTGCTACAGATCGTAGATTGATTTTGACCCTTTGACATCCTCATATACATCATCTCTTTCAGGCATAAGAAGGAGAAGAAGAAGGATAAGGAGCGTGATAGGGATCGTGAGCGGGACAGGAGAGACGATCGTGACCGAAACCGAGACAAGAGAGAACGTTCCACCAGCAAGAAGAGCAAAGACAAGGAGAAGGATCGAGACAGGAAGTCCGACGGCGAGAAGAGCGATGTTAAGGTATATAGGCTCCACACATACACTGAGTGTGTAACTGCACGCAGCGTTCTCAATTTCCTCCATTCTCACAGCCTCCTTAACTCAAGCACAAAAGAAATTAAATATTGAAGAATAGATGATTTTATAACAAAATTCTTGTGAGTTCTTATATGAGAATTATGAGTTAGCTAGCTAGCATGGCTAATGCTAATCATGTACACTGTATGGCCAAAAGTATGTGGACTCCCCGCCTAATTATTGAGTTCACATGTTTCAGCCACCCCCATATAAAATCAAGCACATAGCCATGCAGTCTCCATAGATAAACATTGGCAGTATGGATCAGACTGAAGAGCTCAGTGACTTTAAACATGGCACTGTCTTAGGATGCCAAGTGAGTTTGTTCAATTTCAGGCCTACTAGATCTGCCTCAGTTAACTGTAAGTGCTATTATCATTAAATGTAAGCATCTAGGTGCAACAGCAGCTCAGCCACATAGCAGTAGACTGTGCAGATTCACAGAGTGGGGCTGCCGAGTGCTGAAGACGTAGAAATCTCCTATCTTTGGTTGCTTCACTTACCATGGAGTGCTAAACTACCTGTGGACCAACACAAGAACTGTGTGTAAAGTTTGGTGGAGGAGGGATAATGGTCTGTTTTTCAGGGTTTGCATAGTGCCAACAGGGTTTGGGCAAGACCCCTTTTTTCTAGTGAATGGTAATGTTAATGCTACAGGCATACAAAAGCCTTTTAGACAATGATATCACTGCTGTCGGAACTAAACCTTGTATCTCCATTTTTGTCGTTTTTCAGTTTTTGACCTAATTTGAAAATGACTGCTGCCCTTTACATCATGTATAAATTTGATAATGAATGGACCAAAAAAGTGTCCTGAAACTACTTGGGAAAGAAAGTCTGGTTCCATTGACTTGCATTAAAAGTAAAATATGTTTTTCCTTCTCCTGTAAAGTTATTTTTGGAGATATGAGGTTTTGTTCCAACAGCAGTGATGTGCTTCCAACTTTGTAGCAACAGTTTGGGGAAGGCCCTGTTCGGTTCCAGCATGACTGAGCAAGGCTCATAAAGACATGGTTTGACAAGTTTGGTGTGGAGGAACTCCAGTGGCCTGCACCGAGCCCTGACCTCAACCCCACTGGGATTAATTGGAGCGTCTATTCTGAGCCAGGCTTTCTCATCCAGCATCAGTGCCTGACCTCACAAATGCTCTTTTGACTGAATGGGCACAGATTCCTACAAACATACTCCAGAATCTTATGGAGAGCTTTCCCAGAAGAGTGGAGGCTGTTATAGGCAGCTCCATATTAATGTCTATGATTTTGGAAAATGATGTCAAACAAGCTCATACAGGTGTGATGGTCAGGTCTTCACATACTTTTACCTGTATGATGTATATTTAAGGCTCCATTTACAAAGGACTTGTCAGACGCAATAACAATCTTTTGAAAATAGGTGAAAGAGAAGCTACTAGCCACAGATATTTAATGTTGGGCAATGTTATTTTAAGAATTAACTTATTAAAGATTAAACAAAGTGACACAGAGTGCATGATGGGAGTGGTGGACTGAGAGAAGTGCCTGCAGCCATATTATTGCATCTGCTCACAACTTTGGCGATCTCAGACTCCAGGTCTGGGTGATAGGGACGAAAATCTTATCCTGTGTTATAAATCTGGCCCGAATGTGATCTTTTTCTTCATATGTGAGACTGAACAGCAAAAAATACACTGGCCCTTATTTTTCAACACCAAAACAAGCGATGACTCAGGTGCAATTGACGAATCAGCTTCAGTGCATGGAAACCAACAGAAGTACCTTATTTACATATCATTTGCAATGGACACACCCAAATTTACCCTTATATACATACAATTTACACATAGCATGTTCTAATTCATGCAGATGTTCCAGTAGTGCGCCAATGAAACAAAAGTATTCAGCTACACATGAGCCAATGGTTGTTCTCACAGCTGGAATTTGGAGTTGAGCAGGAGGTGCACTGCTCCCCCCACTGGCCAGAGCTTAAGTATCTTAATAATGTGGACAAACAATCATTTGGGCAGGAAATCAGATCTGCAGTCTGAAGGTAGCTTTGCAATGGCTAGCGAGTGTAAGATGCCCACTGCCACGTAGTGTCCTGCAGCAGCAGTTGTTCAAGCCCTTGCTGGTAACACTTGGGTATTCAAACTGGGGTCTTCCCTGCAGGTGACGAGGGATTATGACGAAGAGGAGCAGGGCTATGACAGCGAGCGAGAGGAAGACCGGGAGAGGAGTTCAGACGTGGCTTCGCCCCTGCAGGCGGCCGGACTGCAGGCCGACAGTGCCGACGACGCAGGGAGAGGAGAGTCGGACGGCCCGAGCGACGAGCAGCAAGACGAGGATATGGATATGAGCGACTGACCCCAGCATAGGAAGAGTGGCCATTATTAACCAAGCTGAAATCAGTTCCACATTTTCTCTTGCAATGTTTCTGGTCAGAGTTTGGGTTTGAGTGAATGCTCTTAGTGGTAGACAAGGTCAAAGGCATCTTTTACCAGAATGTCCAGAGCGTTCCTCTCTTTACCCCCCTCTACATCTCTCTCCAAACTACTGTACTCACCGGTGAAACTTAGTCTTAATTACGTACATTTCAACATTTTAGAGTCTTTTCTCCTGTCTGATTTGGAATGGTGTTCTTCATTAGTTAGATATGACACTTTCTCACACTAAAGGCGTCACTGAATCATTCGTGAGATTTCTGGTTATTTGCGTTGAAGAAGAAACTCTAATGCTTCATATAAAAATGCTCAAAGAAGTCAGGTTGTGTTTAAAGTCATCTTTTTATAAATAAAAATCAGGCCTCCTGTTTAAAACGACACTTTTTTGTCGTTTTAAGTCTGAGAATGTGTGCGAAGGTGGTTTGGAGTATCATAGCATCAACATAGCCTTTTTGTGATTTTATTTAAAAATCATAATTGGTAATAATGTTACTGGGCAACAATGATGTTTAATGAGTTTTCTTTAGTTTGTTGCTGTTCACTCAAGTTTGTACATCCATCGTTCTCATCCTCATAGATTGTAGATTATTTGGAGAATGGTTATCTGTGTTGTTTGCAATATGATATATAAATTGAAAATAAAATGTTAACTCTTAAAATGCATCATATGATAGTCATGAGCTTTGTGAAGTACCTTTTGTTAGAAGTGTGAAATTCTAAGTAACTAGCCACTAAAATACTGTCTGTTGTTGCACCATTTTAAAATTTTCACTTCTCCATTTAGAGCTTTAGAAAGAAAGGCTTAACAGCAGGGTCACCCGAGTCTACTCCTGGACTTCTGTTCTTCTAAAGAGTTCAGGTTTTGGCCAAAATCTGATGGAACGGTCTCCAGTTTCGAGACTAGATTATGCTACAGTGCTGTCAAAAAGTATTAGCCCCCTTCCCAGGTTCTTTCATTTTTGCATATCACTGCGGTCGGAACAAAAAATGACTTTAAAAAAAACTTTATAGGAGAAGGAAAAAACACACTTTACTTTTAATGCAACCAGACGTTCCCCACAAAGCATCATCACTTAAATAGAACCTGTCTGGCACTGTGAAGCAGCAAGAAGGTCTCAGAAAAGCAGCACATGGTGCCACATTCTAAAGATTCATGCATTTGCCAAAAAATATCTAGATGACCCCCCCAAGACATTTGGGATAATATTCAGTGGACTGATGAGTCAAGGTTGGAACTTTTTGGAAGGTATGGGTCCAGTAACATCTGGCGTAAAGCTAACACTGCATTCCACCATAAAAACATCATACCAACAGTCATACATGGTGGTGGTACTGTGCTAGTCTGGGGCTGCTTTGCTTGTCGTAAGTGATGAAACCATGAATTCTGCTCTCTTTTAGAAAATCCTAAAAGAGAATGTCTGCCCATCAGTTTGTGACCTAAAGCTCAAGCGCAGTTGGGTTATACAGCAGGACAAGGATCTGAAGCACACAGGCAAGTCCACCTCTGAATAACTCAAAAGTAACAAAATGAAGGTTTTGGAGTGGCCGAGTGAAAGACCTGACTTGAATCCCAGTGAGATGCGGTGGCAAGACCTTAAACGGGCAGTTCATGTTCAAAAACCCTCCAACGTAACCAGACGTTCCAATGTAGCTGAATTAAAAAATTATTCTGCATAGAAGAATGAGCTAAAGTTCCTCCACAGAGATGTAAAAGACTCATCGCAAGTTATTGCAAATGTTTGATTGCAGTTGTTACCGCCAAAGGTGGCACAGCCAGTTATTGGAATTAGAGGGGGGCAATTACTTTTTCACAGGGATGATATACGTTTTGAATAATTCTTAAACCTTCAATAAATGAAAATCATTTAAAAGCTGCATTTTGCGTTTACTCATGTTGTCTTTATCTTCTATTAAAATTAGTTGGATATAAAAACATTTAAATGTGACAAATTGGCAAAAACAGAAGAAATCAGGTGGGGGCAAATACTTTTTCACAGCATTGTATGTTGTTCTTTATTGATTTTAAATTATGAATTTATATGGCTGCCTATCTATGACCAGTCTAAGAGCAGCACAGCATTACCAGCATTTTAGAGAAACTCACCATCTTACATTACTTTACAGTGATGGGAAACGGGGGGGTCACAATGTCTACAACACAAATACAGCCATTTTATATAGTTTGTATATCATCGCTGTCCAAAGAAAAACAAGTATCTCCAAAATAGTAACTTTACAGGAGAGAGAAAAAACGTTTTACTTTCAAGGTAAGCTAATGGAAAGATTTTTTATTATAAGCAATTTTGGAGCATTTCTATTTCTACATTAAATTTTTCACACAGTGTAAAGAGCAGATGCTGAGCTCAAATGATGCAGAAAAGTAAAAATCACAAAAAAAATGGAGATACGTTTTTCATTGGACAGCGACGATATGTATTGTGAATGGTAGTAAATGGTATTCTTTTGATTTGCAATGTCCTGCATGTACCTCTCCACCATGAATGGATTTTAAAAATATGTTTAAGGCTACTTTATTTAAAAACAAACAAAAAAAAAAGGTGCCTCAGCCATCAAGTTAGTGAATTTTTAACCATTTCCTATAATAACTTATTGGGTGGGAGGTTTTAGAGGCATTAAACACTCCGGATGTCTGGTTCCTGTTACCAACACTGCATTTTTCAATAACTGAGCATTTCAAATCAAACCACTCTGACTTTGTTTACACCTCAATGATTGAATTATGCAGAGGTTTTGAAGAATAAGTGGAATTCCCTTTTAATGCCTCTAAAAAGGTACGTGAGAGTTATTACTTGAAACTGGTAGTTTTATCATAAGGTTTTGACCTACATGTTTTTAAATCCATTTACAGCATAGAATTAGTTCATTCTAAGGGGGGAAAAAAAACAGAACCCAAAGAAAACCTAAAATCCAAATAGTTTGATTACATCTCAATGATGGAATTACACAGGACCTGTAAAAGTCAGTGGAATTCTTCTTTGACATCCCCCACTCTCAAACTTTCGCCCGTTCATTTCAAAGAAAACTGACACTTCATGACACTTTGCAGCTGGAAACACCATCAAAAGCACTGCATTTTGGTACGCTGACATTTTATTAAGTACAATTCCTCATGAAAAAATTGTGGCATACAAGGTTCTTGCTGTACAACTGGTTTATCTGTGTTCAGGTGAAAACCAGGCCCAGAGTTCAAGGCGTGAAACTAAAAACTAGAGAAAACTCACAAAACGAAGACCTGAAGCTGGTTGGTTACAAAAAGGAAAAACAAAGCGTACATCTGTTCGCTGCACTAACCAGTAGTGTAGCTTGGAAGCATATTAAAACCTTCGACCGCTTGGAGGTCAAAATCCAGTGTAGATTTAAAAACAAAACAAAACCACACACAAAGAGGAAAGAATGAGGGTTACATAAATAAAATATTTCTATTCTGAACCATTCAAACGTGACGTTTGCTGGTGCAAATTTGACCAGTTCCTTTTACTTCGTCTTCTGCTGCACACAGCAAAAGAATCCATACAAAACGTCCAGCTTCGGAATTCCCGTCTGGATCATTTGAGCTATTCACACTTTACTATCTTAACGTATGTCCGTCAGTATACATGTCATTTATTCTAAACTGGAAAGTGTTGTATATATATATGTATATATCTACATCCATCTATCAAGGTGGTAATAAAGAAAATAAATCATTGAGAAATAGTATGTGCATCCACAGACTGGTGTCCAGCCAATGCAAGTTCTAAACAAAACTCTGAAGTCCATCTCAAACTGTACATTACATTTACAAAGGAGTGCCCACATCTGGGCCAAATATGCAACAAGAGGGGTACCAAGAGAGTCTTCAAAGTTGTTGACCAAGTGAGGGATTGTAAAATAGGCCTGTGCTCTTCAGGGAACTCGGGTGGTCCCATGCAGTGGAGATCAAAACAGTAAAAGAGAAATAACTAATGTGAGGAGATACAAAACGCAGGAATGGTGGAATAACAGAAGCATTTGCATGAAGGGAGAAAATATTTGTTGCCAGAACAGCCCAGTCTAAAAGGACAACTGACCTGTCCATGCTCTGCCCACAAACGTGTTCTCTCATAGCAACAGCTGCAAGGTTGGAGAATCCTATTTAACCATGACACTGTGGCTAATTGTGAACGATAACAAATCTGACATTGTGCTAAAATCTGTTGCTGAGACTTTGTGTTCCAAAGCCACTGCTGAATCTGCACTGTCCTAGCCAAAGGCCGCACAGAGGGCGCTAGTGAGCACCCCTTTGATCACCAAAGTGAGAAATGGGACACCCAGTGACAAGCCTGGTCCTGGAGATCTACCCTGCAGAGTTCAGATCCAAACACCTGGCTCTAGTATTCAGATGCAGATAAAAGGTCTTCATTACCTAAATCAGGTGTGTTAGATTAGGGTTGGAGCTAAACTCTACAGGGAGGTAGATCTCCTGGACCAGGACTGGACACCTCTTTACTATGGCCTCGTGTGCACCTGCAATTGTGGACTGCAGGACTGCAGGACTGCGAGTGCTCCATTTGGTTCTGGGCTCAACAGAGTATAACTGGGTGGGTAGGATGGTCCTCCCCCAGCCCCATCACTCAAAGCAATACCAGCACTCGTGTCTGTTAGCTAACGTAACAGTCTGGCCAGTCAGCTATCCAGTGATGGTGTGTTCCCAGAAATCGTACCATCGTGTGATTGGGGTTGCTAGCTGGTGGAATTATAAATTGGTTAAAAACAACAGTACCAATAGAAAACACTTTTGGCTATGCGACACCTGGTTCCTATCACCACCACTGTAAAGAAATCTGTGTCTGAGTTTCTCTACAATGAACCTTTTCATGTCATTCAACTCTGAATACATTTTTCTGAAATCTTGATCACACAATAAATTATACCCCATCTATCCTAACAGTGGTACCTTTTACATGTATGCAAATAAATATAATCGATCAATAGCACTAAATTTCCGTATGTCGAAATTTCGGTTGAATAGGATTTTTCACAGTGTCCTGTAAAGCTTGTCCAACCTAGCAACACTGCCTCGAAAGAAGGCATTTATGGGCGGAGCACGGAAGGTCAATTTACCAAAAGAACTTCAATTAGAAGTATTTACAATCTCGCACAAAAAAAGGCTTTTTTGCAGAAAGATCATACCGATTACATTTTGTGAAAGGTTTCATACAACGCAAATCATATACAAGTAACTTATATTTCGCCCCAGATGTTCACCCGCACCTCTATTAATTTTCCTTTATGTGAAGAGTACAAGTTTGTAACACAGTCTGTTTTTTACAAAGTTATACGAAAACAAGGCTTACATAAATACAGAACTCGTAATGCCACATTTCCTGCCACGTACCCCGGAGGACTTTCACCTTCACGGCATTGTGTTTCAGACGCAGTATCAATGTCTGTAAGTACAAAGAGCTACACTGGAGCCTCCACTGTTGTTGTTCTGAGCATTTAGAACGCCGCACAGTGCTTCACGATGTAGTGCATTAGGATGGTGCTCTGGCCAGCTCCTTCCAGCTCCAAGCTACTCTATTAGCTTCGACAAAGCTTTTAGTCAACATGTAGAGGTTCCATAGACAGCTTTGTTCAGAGTGTTACTATGTCAGTTCAGCACGATCCCTTTATACCAATATCACGTACAGGACTGTCACAATGTTGTTTTGTCTGCGCTTACAAAACCCAGCGTGACTCTTCCACTCCTGGAGAAGCTTCTCATATCGAAGCTCAGCCAAGTGAGACAGTCGTCATTCCCCTTAGAGGGAGAGTTGGATCTGGCATGATGGTGGGAAAGAAGAAAGGAGAGAGAAAGGGAGAGAGAGAGAAGTGAAGAGAGTGAACGCGATAGATCAGAGGTCTGGGAAGCGACTGGGATCCTCTTTGTAGTCGTTAGGGATGGTGAAAATGGACTCCTCAAATTCATCATAGCGAAACTCCTGAAACGTCACAGTCGCTGTGATGGTGGGAAACACAGGGATGTCTGAAAAAGAGAAGAGGTGGAAAAAAAGCATTTTGTTTTAGTTTTACTTCTGCACAGCTGAAATGGAAAAATGAAAGGGCGAGAGTAAGAAGAGAAAAAAAAGGAAAAAAAGAGTGAGGAAAGATGGGGAAACAAAAGAGAATGAGAGGGAGAAAGAATTAAAGAGGGAAAAAAAGAAATAGTGAGGAAGAGGAGAGTGAGTTAACAAGAGTGAGAGATACAAAGAAAGAAGAAAAAGAAAGAAAAGGGGAAGAAAAGAGAATGTTTGGGTGTGTTTAAGAATGACAGCAAGAGATAAAGAGAAGGAAAAAGCAAGAATGAAGGAGGAAAGAGCATGAGTGGGGAAAAAGAAGGAAAGAGAATGACAGATAGAAAGATGAAAAAAGCAAGAGAGTAAAAGAATGAAAGTGAGAGAAGAAAAAAAATCAAGACAAGAAAAAGAAGAGAGTAAAGAAAGAAAGGAATTAGGCAAAGGAAAGAAACAAGAAAGAGCATGGGAGAGCTAGAGAGAGCAAGAGAGTGTGTGAGAGAGTGACAGAACAGCACGATGCAGAGGAAAAGAGAGGAAACAGAAAAACAAAGAGGATAGAAAGCATTCGAGAGAGTGAACAAATGACAAGACAGAAGAAAATACAAGAAAGAAAAAAGAAAAGAAAGGAAAGAGAAAGAAAGAAAGCAAAAAAAAGGAAATGGAAATTAAATGGAAAAATGAAATAAATGAAATAGGATGTTCCAAAAGCCCCAATTTTCAACTGGGAAAAAAAAAAAAATCTACCTGGAGAGCATTCTGAACAAGTGAAGTGAATACCTGAACAAGCATTGTCACAATATATTTTTGCTCAGTAACACAGTAATTTTATATTAATTCAGTGAAACGCATGAACTAAAACAAGACAATCTTCCACAGAGTGAAGTTTCAACAGTGGCTGCATGTTCCAACCAATGAGTGTACATATCACATTCAAACATATAATGTGTTCATTCAATGGTTTTCCATGATTGTAGTCTCTTGCTCTAGAAGTTACAGCAGATTCCTTTTATTTTTTATAAAATTGTAGTGGTCATGCTTTAAAATTTCACTTTTGTTCACAAATACATGAACAAAAATGTAAATAATTGCAATTAATCAGTCCTACCCATAACCCCAACTGAATGCTGTATCATCTTACCTAGTTTCACAGGAAAGCCTGGTGGGAGCTTCATCTGAACAAATTCTCTGAGTTTGTTAAAGTGCTTGAAGGGTGCAATCACTTCCAAAACATTTAATAACCTGTGAACAGACAGAGCGACCCAAATCAATCAAGTCACCCACACAAAGAAACTGTACTGACCAACCAGACGCTCAAGGTCTCTAAACAAACAGCACTTGAGTGCAAACCCTCGACTTAAAAGCTGTCACATGACAGGAGACTGGGAGAAAAGGTAATTTTTTTTCTGAAAAGCTTCTTTTTAACAAGCATTGACAAAAAAAATAAGGCTACTTACGACTCAATGCCCAGAGGGAAGTCTTGACTCATGGCTACAGTTGCTTTGAAGTTTTTCTTGCTCTCTTTGCAAACCAGCTCTCTGCCAAGATGGGGTGCCCTGAAAGAAAGAGCCATCAGTAGCAGTTAGCAAACTACTAAACCATACAAAAAGCAGGTACGACAGGTAATGTGGTGTTGCCACAGAAACCTGCTGGGCTGAAATGGGTTACTGGGGAAAAGTGCTGCAGATTAAGAGGATCCTCAGCTGTCAGCCATCAGTGGCAATTAGGAAAACTGGAGAATGCCAAGCTTACATTTGGTTATTAAAAATATAATGTCTATCCCTGTAAATGAGATGTAAGACATGAGCCATGAGTGAAAAAGAGAAAGTTCTAAAAAGGCCACATTAACACTTCAGCACTCTGTGACTCCATTATGGCTACCAGTTAAATCAATATAACACTGATTTTTTCAGAGATAATTCAAAGCAAAAAGCTGCATCAGACGTACTTCCCCGTCTCAGCTGTGATGTATTCCTCCCAGGAAATAGTGTTCGGAGTGGGAGCGGTCAGGGACTGGCGTCTCACCGGCTACATGGGTCAGATAGAGAGAGACAGACAGATGGAGTCAAGAGAGAACAAGAGGGTGAGAGAGGGAGAGAGGGAGAGGGTGAGAGAGAGAGAGAGAGAGAGAGAGAGAGAGAGAGAGAGATGAAAGAGCAAATAAGAGACAGGAGATAGAGAGACAGAGCAGATAGACGAAAGAGAGGATGAGAAAGAGAGCAGCGAGACAGAGAGCATAAGAGAGACAGAGGGAGAAAAAAGAAAGAGAGAAAAGAATGAGAGATAAAGAGAGTGAGGATGAAAGAAAAAGAGAAAGAAACGAAAGAAAGAGAAAGAAAAAAAAGATAAGGATGAAAAAAAAAATAGTGATAGAAAAGAAGACCAAAAACAGAATGAGAGAAAAAAAACAAGCAATGAACAGAAGAAAAAAAGACAGAAAAAAGAAAGAAGTTGAGAGACAAAAACAGGAGAAATAAAGAGAGAAAAAGCAAAAAGAAAGGGAGAGAAGAGTTGAAGAAAAAGTGTGTGAGAGAGAGAGAGAGAGAAAGAAAGGAGAGAGAAAGAAAGAAAAAGAAAGAGAGAGAGAAAGAAAGGAGAGAAAGAACGAGAGAAAAAGAAAGGAGAGAAAGACAGAAAGAAAGAGAGAGAAAGAAAGAAAGAGAGAGAGAGAAAGAAAGAGAAAGAGAGAGAAAGAAAGAGAGAGAAAGAAAGAAAGAAAAAGAGAGAGAGAAAGAAAGGAGAGAGAAAGAGAGAGAGAGAGAGAACCATCATTAATAACAAGAAACTATATTAACCTGCTATGACTGTAATAGCAGCTGTCATGCTGGGTTTATAACAGGCAGTTATAAATATTCATGTTTTCATACAGAAAGTGAATTATTGCCAGTTATGCACACACATTTCTACTAAGGTAGAAGAAAAATGTATAAACTAATGTTAAATAAGCTTAACGGTTTTCAGTGGTGCTGTTTTTGTTCTTTATAGATCGTGAGGAGCTGAATGTTCTATGTGGCCTGAATCTGGTTTAATAATGGCAGCGATGGGGATTGGCGCGGCTCGGCGCGGCTCTTCGTCACCTTCTGAGCTTGTTCTGTATTTTTGGAAAGTTCAGCTGCAGTGAAGTGAAGGCAATTGAATGAGTCTGCTGCTCCCGGCTCCCCTCTGGTGAGACTGCGCACCCTGTAGACCTCATCACATGCTGCTGATGAAAATGGAAGCAGTGTGTGCTAAAGTGTGTGGATTCTTCATGAAGACTGAACACTCATCACTGGCTGCATGATCATCACCCCTCCAGCTCTCTCTGTAGTTTTAGAGTTGTGCTCTAAAGGCTAAGCTTCAGTTTTAGGTTGGCTTTCAGCTGCCTGGTTCATTTGAAGTGTTAAGGGCTCTTCAGTGTAGATGCTGGTGTGACCAGAGCAGCATTCTCAGCAGTTTTAGCAAAGAAAGTCTAAACAATTTTACAATCAGTTACTATCAACAGCCTGAAGTTCAAGGAAGAACATTTCAGTCAGTGTTTTCATTTCAGTCAATTAAAACACTGAGATATGGACAAGCCAGATCAGATGTTAGACCAGCACAGTGACTAGCACAGTGACACAGAGACCCTTTTTGTTACTTGGTATCATGAACAGAAAGATCAACAGCGGAAACGTCGCAACAATTATAAAGCAATAAGCCACAAGAGACCATGGATTACTGCGATTTTATCACAGGAAGGATGTTTTATGACGCAAAGCGGAATTCCTAAAACTCCCTACATAGTGCACTGCGTAGGAGTTTAAATACTGGATCCTGCGCCCCACGGTGTAAAATAAAGCTAAGAAATAGTCATTTGGGACTCAGCCACATTCACACTCGATGAATGATGCACTGTTTGGCTGTAGAAGCTAGAATTTCTCAATCTTCATAGCGAGCACACTATTTAGGGGGTATGGAGCCATTTGGGGTTCAGTCTGGGTTTTGACGTGACTTTTAACTGAAACACGAACGTTTGAATACTTGAATCCATTCAAGTGATGTTTTTAGAGTTTCATACCGCCGTTTTACAGTGAATCATACCGTAACTACTTTAGGAGTTTAGGACCGGAACTATCTGTTTTATAATACTTTTTAAGCACCAAGCCAGCAGTATTGTCTGATCACCTCCTTCCCACACTGGGTTTAACACTATGCTATTTATGTGGACACCTGACCATCATACCTATATTAGCAGGCTGGAACACTATTCCAAAATCATGGGCGTTGATATAGAGTTAGCCCAATATGTGGCTATAGCAGTCTCCACTCTTTAGGGAAGATTTTGGAGTGTGTCTGTGGGAATTTGTGCCTTTTCAGGCTAAAGAGCTTTTGTGAGGTCAGGCACTGATATTGGAGAACGCCTGGCTCAGAATAGATGATCCAGTTCATCCCAAAGGTGTTCAGTGGGGTTGAGGTCAGGGCTCAGTGCAGGCCACTGGAGTTCCTCCACACTAAACTCGTCATACCATGTCTTTATTGACCTTGCTTTGTGCACAGGGGGACAGTCATGTTGGAACAGGAAACGGCCTTCCTCAACCTGCTGCTACCAAGTTGGAAGCATATAATTGTCTAAAATGTATGCTGTAGTATTAACATTACCCTTCACTGGAAGCAAGGGGTCCAGCCCAAACCCTGAAAAACAGCCCCAGACCATTATCCCTTTAAACAGCAAGCCGGAGCTCTCTGGGGTCTCTATGCGCATGCCTGATGTAAACACCCACCTAAATGGTGATGTTTGCACTGACAATCTTTTTGCCATTTTAGTCAGAGTAAAAAACAGACTAAAGTTAATCCACATTACTAAAAATAGACTAAAATTCTAAGCATATTTTAATCAAAAAGATGTGGAAAAAAAACACAGCTCAAACACACTAAGACAAATCCAAAAGAAATGAAAATCTCCACTACTTCTCCTGTCAGAGTTGTGATTTTTGCCTTATCTGGCCAACGGCACTATCTTGCTTCATGAAATAGCCATTGGCCTGGCACTTGACCAGTTTGACCCTGCTCAAAGCTGACCAAGCGCTTCAGTTACACAACACTAAAAAGCCCAAAGCAGAACCAAAAGAGGAAAAGTCTCCTCAGTTACAAGAGAACAGACAAAGAAAAAACAAAAAAAACCTTTTACAGGAATGCAGTGATCAAGTGAATAAGTAAAACATGACCAATGATGTCAGTAGTGCGCAAGCTACAATACAAACCTCAGTAATAAATGCAGGTAACTCCAGGCTTTTCTCTGCAGGAAGTTTTAGATTATTCGGTCTGTTTGGCAGCACAGCGTAAACGTATTTCACTTAACACACCTAATACAACTTAGAGGTCAGTCTTTGTGTATGTACAGGAATGTACTGACGTCTACAGAAGAGCTGGTGTTTCAGCCTGTTCTCTCTGAGCTGAGTGTTCTTTGAAGGCAACTGTTCATTTTCTCTCCTCTTTGACACTGACACATCATTAGCACTGGATCAGTGCAGTGATTGGCTGGGACCTCTTTGTGTGAAAGTGCCATTAGACATGGAGGTGGAAATCACACACTGTTTCCATGGTGCTGCTTTAAGCTATGAAACCACAGGACCGAGGGATTTTGCACTGAAACTAGGGCTACAGCTTGTGATTATCTCAAACCTGACAATCAAATATTATGTGATTAATGGACTAATTAGGACTCCTATTGATATTTTCAATGAACATTACGCTAAAAATGATAACAGTTCGTTCTAACCACACAATCTGGGGTGCATTTCCCAAAAGCTTAGCTGTCTAACTACATTGGTAAGCTTCGTTAAACCATTGTTAGAAGACTGAGTGTTCCCAAAAACCACTGTTTGAATAAACATGTGCAACCAATGTCGGTAGATATTGTTTAAATTATAAGCAACATTTTTAGGACATGGCACACCTTTATGCACAACAAACATTTTTGTTTATTAAATCAAGAATAAAACAGAGGTAGCCCAAGTTTAACATGCTGTGCCCGAGATTGGCTTTCGTATCTTCATAATATTACTTTGTGTTTTCAATTAAAGCCTGAAATTAGCATCCGTTCATGAAACAAGAAGTTACATAATAACCTTTAAAGTTGTGTTAAAAAAAAATAAAAAATTGCAGAATTGCAGGCAGAGATTTGAGTGCAAATGCTGAATGAGCTTCAGTGTATGAAATCAAGCGCTGGCTTTGAGAGGAGGTGGAGCACTGACTGCAAACTGGCTAAACTTTAAAATATTGTCCAAAAGAACATCATAGCTGTGATTATCTCCAGCAACCAAATATCAGCTGTGATGTTTGCGTTAAGACACTTAATTAGTGCTTAGTAGAAAAAAGAATATAGATTTTTTTTAAAAACAAATACAATGTTCCCACTTTTTCCTTTTCCAATGCCAATACTGACACTAAAACCTTGCATATCAGCCATTACCATTCTGATGTTTTTTTTTTGTTTTTCAAAACATACTAGGCTTTAAAATGAACATTTTATATAGAAATATTTGTTTAGATTGTTCACATACTACATTCAAACTATTCAAGCACTCTGCTCTTTCACCTTCACTGTTATCACATTTTCATGTGGTTGCTCTTATAAATGTGACTTTAATTCACTGTACATTTTCTGGCGCTATATGCAATTCTATCCTATTTAAAGCTAGATTTGTGACAATTGCATTTACTCTTTGCTCCTCCGATATTAAATCCAGCATTTTCTTCTGATATCAGCCAAATGCAGATACACAGATTTTCATCTAGATAAACACAACAAATAACGAAATAAAGTTTGTCTATTAATTATTCCATCCCTAGTCCTAGCCCGCTACGCCTCTCACCTCAAAGTTCTGCTCGATGAGGTTCCCTCCTTTGCTGAGGCTCTCCATGATGGCCTTGTTCCTCAGAATATCTTCCTCGCTCAAGTGCTCCCGCCGTTTCCTAGACTCCAGAACGAGGCCATTGACCAAGTAGAAATCAGCTAGAAAATTCCCAACTCGTTCCTGCAGGGGGTCAATTTCCTTTCATAAGTGACCAGAAAGTAATTTCCTCTCTAAAATGCACTAGCTTAAGTAAGATGTATTTCTCCCCACTTCATAAAAACTCACCGTTTTGTCCTCGCGGAAGAGCCAGCCAGTCTGCGCTCGGGAGAAGGTGATGGATTTAGTTGAGAGAGTGGCAGAGTAAATGTCGCTGCTCATCAAAATGTCCACTTCTTCCTCCGTCTCCATCTCAGACTCCTAAAGCAAAAAAAAAAAACAATCGAAATGAGAAGTGCAACACAGCACCACAAACCTGGCTTGAGGATCATAACACTGCTGCTGACTGATCAGTGTAAATCAACAGCACTCACTGACCTCATGGTGTATTCGCTGGTACACTTTCTGCTCATTGTCCAGCACCACAAAGGACTCAGAGGGGATGGCATCACCGTTAAAGATGAAACTCAGGTCTCCTCTCTGGCATTTCATGTCTGTGAAATCGATGAGAGTAGTGTCCAACCTGACAGAGACAGAGAGAGAGAGAGAGAGAGAGAGAGAGAGAGAGAGATCAAACTACACATGTAATATAATGATATACTGGGTGATCTTTTTATCTCTAGACCATATGAAGAAAAAAAAACATGAGGAAAGATGATCAAAAAGTATCACTGAAATCTAGGTGTCTGCCTTCTGAATAAAAACACGTTCTTCCAAGCAGGGGCACAAATTGCTGCACAACAATAAAGAAACCAAAAGAAAGAGACCAGGTTTTGTTTCACACAAAGCAACACCAGTTTCTCCATCATGAAATCATTACCACAGTAACATTCCTGCTTGGCATAATCTGTTTCTGCATCTCTAGAATGTATTCAAGTGAGATTTGATATCCTGGAGCTGTCAAGAGAAAAAGAATCCATCAAAAGGCCAAACTGTCCTCATTCGATAGCAAATAAAAGCTCTAAATGATTAACAGATCTGCTAGGGTGGTCAGTGGAAATTAGGGCTGTCCCAAACTGCATTTTACAGGCTTCTAATACTTTCAAAATCAACCTTAAAAACAATATTTGAAGTGTTTTTTGTGGTCATCTGTTTGGCAGAACAGACAGTCTTCCACTTTAATCAGATGCATTTCTTACATCTGTCAAAATACAGCCCTTCTGTTCTGTCATTACTTTAATGAGTCGAGGGTATTTTTTTTTCCCTTAGTGCATGTAAGTGAAGTGTAAAGTCCTATACTGATATACAGCCTTTGAGTGGGTTTGGATCGATTTGGGGTTTCAAAGTTGGCGGTACCAGTAGGGCTTGGTCGGGTCAGATCTCAAAGTCGCAGTTATGGGTCGGGTTCGGGCTTCAATTTCACGCCTGTGAAGACCACTAATCTGTTTGAAGAGTATGTTTTGAGTGTGACAAAATTACACATTGACAAGAGACTGTGTGTACTTAGACCAGTTTGCTGGATATGACCCATATAATGCTGGCAGAAAGTTCCTTTTCTCTCATGAGGGTTCCCATTCGTGTTTAGGCTAAGCTCTTCGGTTTTAATTATCTGTCAAATCTCAGCATTGCTCCAATGACACTTCTTTTTTTATATTATCCACCGATACCAATATGATAAACTATTCTGATATTGATATAGTATGTAACAATTCACTCCATATATGAAAACTAATCTGCAAAAACAACCTGTTCTGAACTCATTTGTTTTTGTAATGTCAAGAAAACCAAGACATTCACATATATCCTCCTATCCAGCCTACAGTTTTTTGGCTCCACCCATCATTTGTGCCATTTATAAGGTATGATTCAGCCTTCACTGCCTTTTGAAGGAAGCGCATTACATGGTAGTCTATCAGAACAGAGATTGTTAACATATATCAGTCTTCAAAGGACAAGGACGACGACGACGACGACGACGACGACGACGACGACCCGCTTGATTCTAATAGACAAAAAAGACATATAAAAATAAATGAATGTTTTTGGTACAGAAACCACACAAATGCCACACAAGGACCTCAAGGCAAATATTAAAACCAGAAAAATGTAGGATACAAGCCATTTAACCAGCCCCCTTTTTTTCATTGGTTTGTTTGTTTTTTTTTCCTTCTTGGACCCACACACAGAGGAAGCCCCAGTCCACCTCATTATGGCGTCATCATTTGCAGAGGGGCGTCATGGGGAAAAGATGAGCATGCTGAGTAATTTTCCACTTCCGCCCACTTCAGCGCAAACAGTGATTTCACACTCTAGTTAACAGCACTTGTCATTAGTCAGGCTGGAGCCAGGCTGTTTATCAGGCCAAATACAGGCTACTCTACAGATCCTAACAGCCTCTTCCAGTGATTCCATGACCCATATTTCCAAATGCTGATGAATGCCAACAGCAGGGCGTTTTATGAGATCAGATTACCCTTATCTGAGTGAGTCAGTGGCAGTAAATTGCACCGCAGTACAGGGGCACACGCTCAACGGCTGACTGCTACTTACTAAAACAAAAAACTAGACTAAAACAGACTCTGCTTTACCAAATCAGCACAGTTTTTCAGCTGGAGCGGCAGTGTGTGCAATTTTACACTACAATATTTTTTAAAAGAAGGCAAACAACTTCAGAACTCTTAACAAGTCTTCTTTACATCCCTTTAGAAAACCAAACAGCATTTCTCCATCAGACAGAACTTACCTGATATTGATTCCCTGCTTGTAGATCTTGCAAGCATCAGAGGGCAAAATTCTAGATAGTAAAGGCACTGTTGGGAGAAAAAAAAATATAGAAAACAGAAACAATGCAAAGCTTTATCAGCTCTCTCTAAATCTAGTTATACATAGTAATGACTAGCATGACTGAACTTTGGAAAAATCTGGAAATCACATCAGCAGTCACATAAAAGCCTCAAAAATGCTTAAATGCTTCAGATCTTTTTCCGTCCATCCTTACGTTGCAAGAAGACTCAACACTATGAGTCTGAAAGGATGTGAAGCTGAGAACAATGGACTGTCCACATCATTGAATGCTTTTGGGATCAACTGTGAGCAGCAGAAAATGCAACCCACCTGTAAGACTGAACTTTACAGATGTGAAACATTTTCCTGTTGAAAAACTGAAAGCAAGTCTTCCGAAATGAATAACCGCTGTAATAAAGACAAAAGGCTGGACAAACTAAATCCTGAAAATGATAATATATTTAGTTGTTGATGCATCTGTATAATTTAATATTAAATATGTTTCCTGCTTTTTTACTGATGCTGAAAGATGAATAACCTGTACTTAATGCCCATTCTGACTGGGAATTACATTTAAAAAGGGTAAGGGTAAAGGGGGGCACATGCATCTATCCACTGATATGATTGCATAAAATAAAAAAAAAATAAATTATAAATAATAATGTACAAAATAAAGTACAGAAAACAGGCCACCAAAACAGACAAACCTAAACTAAAAGATATGTATGAAAAATAACAGGAGCAAAGCTTTCCTCTACAGCTGCAGTGGTGCGGGTTAACCAACAGGGGGAGCAAGGTTCTTCTGCCTCACAGAGGCCACTCCCTCAGAATGGTTAACTCAGCGTTTTAAATGGTCACTCCTCTCTTTCCCACCCATCCCTCTCTCTGCCCCTTTTCGAGTCCAGCTGGCCGCTGCTGGCCGTGCTGATGTAATCCTGCTCCCTGATGCTGCATTTTCCTCATCAACTAATACAGCTAACTGCTGCCCTGCCAAAACCTCTGCTAAGCTACTGCTGCCGCCTGTGCTAAAAGTCAGAGTGTGTTATTATGTCGTAAAGCTATATATACACTGCAGTTATTATGTGGCTTTCTTTTTACCAGGGCCAACATCTAAGATCCAGGACTCCATAAATAAATGTGAACTTACCCCAGCTTTGAAAATCCCAGTGAAGCTCCAAGTAGAAGTCCCCGAGCTGAAAAACACGAGAGATTCACCACTAACTGCTACATGAGACGAAGGCTTAAAATCAGTTGTCTACATCAGCTGTTTCTATGTTAACTCTTAAAATTGTATGCATGCTCATTCAGAAAGGCCATGACTCCCCCACCCATCCTTTGCCATTCAAATGGCTAAACTTATCTGTAAATCAGGCCTTGTGCTTGTTTGTTTGCGGAGGACCAAGGACCCAGAGATTGACCTCAGAAATATTTCATCCGTTTGAATGCTGTATAAATAATCCTCAGGGAGGAGGCGGATACAGTTTTCCTCCCTCATAAAAACCAACCCTCTATCTGGCTGATAAAAAACATAGCTGGCCTTCAAATGACCCATCTCGCTGTGGCACCCAGGCAGGAGATGCGACAAGACCAGCCTGCAATTTGCCTCGTACTTCCTCGAGGTTGAATACCAGCATTTACTGCGGCGGCTCAGCCAAAAACAAAGTTTACACAATTTTCCTACAGCTCGAAATGTAGTCAATGAGCCAAGACGTGTCTGGTGTCCAAATTTTACTTCTTTAGCAGTGGAGCTGTGACGCTAACACTGCTAAGAAACCTTAGAAGTCAATAGTCACAGAAATCTTTTCCATAAATACATCCTCAAAACTCTCTCCTCCTAATAACCATCTAAAACCTGGCAGACCACCAAAACTGTCCCCATCAGATAAACAGCACTTTCATCTTTGAGAGAAAATCAAGCTCCACTTTTGCTTCAGATCCAAAAATCCCACAGGTGTTTGTCCATCCTTCCACTGTAAGAAGACAACTCAATGAGCCTGAAAGTACGTGTAGCTCAATGTGTAGATTCTCTAATCATGTATAATTGACTGTCAAACCGGAGTCCAGCCCTCTACTAAATGCATTTAGGATTACTTGGATTGTGAGAGGCAAAAAAAAAAAATGCAGCCAACTTCTAGGACTGAACTTCCCTCAACCTGCTCAAATTGTATCCAGGTCTTCAGCGAGGCCATAAACCTGTGGATGTAGTCTGTAAGACACAGTTTAAGTCAACAGAAACCCGACTCTCCTCAGGCGTCATGCAAATATATGGTCTGGATTACATTAGCGCTTTCTGTTGTTTCTATTTCTGACTGTATTTCATCATATTAAAAACTCAGAATTAACAATTATTTATAAAAAGAAGAATGCATGCTGTGCATCCACGTGAAGAGGAGCCAAAATCTGGCACAGCACCCGATTTCTAAAATAAAAAAAATACTGCATCCAGCTACACTGTGAAGTTCTGTTCGTTTTTCTAGTTCACAGCAAACCATACTGTGTCCTAAACAACACAGACAAGTATGTGTGACCTTAATGAAGACCTGGATGTGGTTTTAGGAGATACAGAAAAGATTTGGGTGACTACTGACTTCTAGTGTTTGTTACATTAGCCTCGAAGCTCCAGATTTAAGAAGCAAACTTCGGATGCCAAACATTGCTTGGCTGATCGACAAACATCTGGGATTAGCAGAAGGAACAGAAACATTATCCCTGGTCTTGTACAGTGGGAGACGGTATGTACTGAGCACACTAAACACGTCCCACTCTACTAAACAAAGTGTGGAGTTGACACTTGTGCCCGCTTCTTTAACGAGTCACTTCCTGTGTCGCTAAGCGAGCGAGAACACTCGCAGAGCTCACTGCATGATGAGAGGCTTCCGCCGTGCCAGCTTTCAGCTGACCATAATTACTGAACAGAGAATCATCCGACTGAGTATATGTGGATGAGAGGGAGAGAGAGCGAGCGAGAACGTGAAAGTGAGAGCGAAAAAGAAAAAGTCACAGAGAGACAAGAAAGAGAGAAAGAATGAGAAAGAAAAAGAAATCAGTCACTGAGACTGAATAATCGAGACAGACCGACAGATACACAGAGAGAAAGTGAGAGAGAGAGGGAAGGGGATAAGGTAACCGAGCGCAGCAAAGCAGCAGAGACAGAGTGTTTGGGTTGTCTGTGTGACGCATCAAAAGATTACTCGGAGGGATCTGGAGTGGACCCACAACTACAGAGGAGTAAACTGAAGCTTTCAGACAGGCCAACATGTTCTGCACTGGGCTTGAGAAGTTATCTGACAAAATCACTCACTACTAAGGCTGCACAATATATAATTTCTTCAACACCATCACAATATTCGCAATACTGATTATCGCAGAATGAGCCCTTAAAATGTTCTGAATATTTCAATCATTGATAAGTAAAGTCTTTTAGAGTTGTTTGACAATAAAAGAAACTTGGTGACTTTTAAAGGTTTGTTTTTTAATGGTGGTGATAGAAACCAGGGGTTGCAATACGTACAGCGTAAATATTACCATTTTATGTACAGTCCTCAACAACCAGTAAACACAAGTTTTTTATGCAATGTTGATAATGTTAAAAAAGCAGTACGTCTGGGAAAAAAATGTGTTCTTTGGGACTATTTTGCTTTCAAACACCCTGCGTATTCCTCTCTGTCACACATTTTAGTCTAAAACTTTCTCATAAATAAGGTAAAACATGCTTCAGGCATCAGGCATTGTATCTGATACCATTTCACGTAATGACTGTCTGTGAGGGAGCTTTTAGATGCATTTAACACTTCAGATGGTTCCCATCACCACCACTGTGAACAATCCTGACTCTGTAAGGGTGCGTTCAGACTTAGCAGGTTTGGTTTGATTAAAATGAACTCTGGTGCGATCGCTCTGTTAGTCCGTCATTTTCTGCTGTTAGTCCGTCATTTTCTGCTGTGGTTTGGCTCAAAGGAATTGAAAAACCAAGTATAAACTGACCACGTTTTTCTAGAATGGAGCATTTCACATCAAACCACTCTGAATTACTTTGTTCACATCTTGTACACTTAATTGTGCCGAATTTTTGGCCAGTGGAAATTCCTTAAGCTTTAAGCTGTGAGTGTCCTCATCTATCTCAAACCTTCAAAATGACTTTGCTATACAATTTGTTGAATCAAGGAATCAAAAGAACAAAGCAGGTCTGTCTTTAACGGAGACATCAAGTGATCATTAGTGTGCTTCGAGGTTTTACAAAGTAAAACCACAATTGTAATATGCAACAATATAAATTAAATTTTGTCTATATCATGCAGCTCTACTCCCTACAAATATTTGCCCTGCTAAACATCTAGCACTACAGGGGTTGTAGACCTGAAGTCCTGTGTTGTGCACTGTATATCCAACAGGGAATTTTTCTGAATTGCGTCAGTGTGAAGCTTGTTGGGCTTTACCTCTTTAAGGGCTTTGAGCAGGCGAGGCCTCTTGTCCTCCACGCTCTCTCTGGACTGCTGCTTCAGCTTCCGCAACAGTGCTGTGACTGCAAACACAAAGACAAGCGCTCGGGTGAGACATCCTCTGCACAGCTCGCAGGCTTTCCCACAAACTGATTAGGCCCCAGGGTGGGACTAATTCGCACTGCCACTGGGGATGTTGCTCTAAAAGTACACTTAATCTGTGATCCCGCAGCCCAGGGCGAGCAACATGGCAAAAAATACTTGAAATTTACACAAGGAACGCACTGATATGAGAAGTCTTGTAATTAAATGTAATTAAAAGATATTAAAACTAGATCTACCTAAATTAATATTGCAGAAAAATGTACTTGTAGAAGGTTAGCAGATATTTTAATGCCACATCATTTGAGCACTCTGCTTTTCTACAGTACAACAAATGTGTCATCAAAAATTGGTTTAAAATATTGGTCAAATTTGAACATTTGTTTGATGCCAATATATATAAATTAATAAAGCAACATCTGCCCATACCGATATCATTCTGTGTTAGATTCCTGGCACTGGGTGAAACCTTAAAACAGCTACGCCAGTTCGGAGACCCTTCTGGATCTGTTTTTGTCCAACATGCAGTTGGTCAGTGACCTTTAAATGCTAGCGATACCCAGAATGCATGGTCAAAAGCCTACTGTAATAATTTATCATGACAGATGTCATATTGCTATACTGCCTGCCCTCACTGCAACCTGCACCTCGGGCAGGCCTTAATTTTATAACAACAGACTGTTTAAGATCAGGATGCTCCATACTTTCTGCCATCAAAAATTTCTGGCTGAAAATAGTTGAAAGCAGCACTTTCAGTTTTTTGGCTGAAAGAGAAAAAGGATGGAAATTTTGCCTGAAAAAAAACCCCAAAAGATTAAATGATTTGAATGATAAAGTGAGAAACAGGTATTAAAAACGCTGCTTGTTCCCGTCGCTCTCTTGCTCTGGTCAGCACAGTTTGAGTAGCAGCAGACAAAAGTGAAACACACCAACACAGTCCTGTTCAGCTTAGACCTGTATTCTACGCATTCTTAAAATAATACGCTTGCGAGACATGCACTAGCATTTGGTAAGCTGGTATGCCGTGGATATTAAACAGGCACGGTAACATTATCATAGACACTTTGAAATACAGGGAGATTCTCTCGAAAGAGGCCCCAAATATTCCGTTGTAACTCCCGTTAGGATGAAGCAATCTGAACCAAAAAAAATACACTACATACCTTGACGTATGTGTTATCGATTGCATTACATGCGATGCTGGAAGTGATCTCCGTTTTCTGCCAGACACATGAAGGGGTACGGGGGTAAAAACCCGGAAGTTTCAAACAGAGGTTAAACGCCGCAGCGGCTGGTCTGCGCCTACCTCATCGCTCAGACACAGGGGCATCCCGGCTTGTTCGAAGCTCCATATACTGAGGAGCACACTGCACGTTATTTTGTTCAGATTTCTGAAGAGAGTTATTACAGAATATTCGGGGCCTCTTTCGGGTGAATCTCCCTGTACAATCACTGCAATTTAGTCAAATACGATGTTTCTCCTGAGATTTAACACAGAGCAGCTCTGCTTTCACAAACTCCTGCTGCGCTCTCAAGCTCGGATACAGTGACTCCTCTGAGTGGAGCTTATAAACAATCACAGCAGCCACAGCACAGCAGAAGGAGGAGCACTTTTTATCCCTCAGAAAGGTGAAAACTCACATCCCACCCAGCTTAGAGATAGAAAAAAATGTTCCATTTCATGTCTGCGGTCAAAAACTTTGTATGTATGAAGTGAAAGGCACAAAAACATCTCAAACTTAACCTAAGCAGTTCGGCAGACTGCTACGCTAATGAGCTAACAAGGGAATCCAGTAGTTGGGCATTACGTTGAAACATTTACTGAATGATTCACAGTATATCTACAGCGTGCAAAGCGAAAAAGGTTACCCAAATGTCCGTTATAAGCTTTGTTTGTCTGGAGATTGTGTAGATTGAACCATGTTAGTACTGAACCTAGTGTGGGGCACTCAGCACATGCCTAATGCTTTCTTAAGCATTCAGCAATAGGTGCCTGTGGGAAACCATGAAGTATTACCTTTTCATATTTTTACAACACTTAAGCTAAAAAGAAAATGCTGAGAATTTGCTTGAGACGGCGTCACATTCAAAAAACTCAATCGGGGGGGGTTTCCTCTACTGTAGACCAACAGCTTTTTAATGCACTGTAATAATAATAACAATAATAATCCATCACCTTAACAGTAAAAGGGCTTAAAAAGCCCTTAACCAGACCACTAAAATGTACAGAGCATGGGGTCCTCTATAAACAGAATCACTTAAAACAGAACACTGTATTATATTTTTTTCAGAGTACAGAAGAAGAAAGCAAGGTCCTCCATCACTGACCTACTGAAGTCACGTGAAAACATATGTGCCCAAGAGCAGACGGTGAAAAATAAATCCTAGGGATATTAGCTTCACAACCCAAAGCCCTTTGGTTAACAACTGCAGGTGGATCAATGCCCAATGCATTTGTTTGCAAGTACAATGAGGACCTTTAATGCATGGGGCATCAATCACTCAGCAGCAGATTGAGCCTGTTCCACTCAAACAGGACCTCAAATGAGGCGAGCTGCAGTGTGAATTCATCAATAAGAAGCAAAACAGACAGGCGTGTTGCTTTGTGGTGCAGCCCATACCACTGTGTGTAAATCAGGGCCTTTTCACAAAACCAGCTACAATGTTCAGTACAGAGCCATTTCCAGGCCTACTTTCATTCAAACTTATTCACATTCAAAGACTTAACATGACATTCAGAGGTAAGGTAATGTGGCAAAAGCATTACTACACAATAAAAAATATGCATTATATGTAGTTTTTCTGAGGTTTTGCAAACAAAATAATGCCACAGTATTTAATACTACAATGATGTTTATGTTTATGATTCAACACAACAGAAGGAAGAATAACAGTGATGAACAAAAATGCTTGTCAAAAAACAAACCAAAAATCAGGGTTGAAAACTGAAATCAAATACACAGACAAATAAAAACAGTTCACATAAAACAAACATACTAAAATGATCACAGTAAATTGTCTGAGATCGACAGTAAATCGTCTGGTGCCACACAGCTGACATTTTTTAACTGTTGATCCTCTGCTGCTCAATCTGTTTGAACACATTGTAACACTGTTCGTGTAATAACACGAACAGTGTTATTAATCGCTGATTCCCATTTTCATTACCACAGAAATTATGTGGAAAAGATATGAAAGGCCATTTAATATAGGTAAAGGCCATTTTTAAATCTTTGTTTCAGTTAAAAACTTTAGGCCTTTTTTCTCTTTCAGGCAAAAATTGAATGTTCCACTTTCGACCATTTTCAGCTAAATACTTTTGTGGGCAAAAGTCCACTGCGTCTCTATAAACAAACCAAAAAAAAAGCAACATTGGTAAAAATAAATTAACCCACTTATTCCCCCAAGAATTTAATGTGCTATGAAATCAGACGACACCTTTTGTTGTAATTCCAACTCCTTTTATTTGTCATGTGAAGTACTTTAACATTTTTAATAGGAAAACTGAAAAAGTTTGGAACTAGGAGGCAATCAGAGCTTTTCAAAACAAATAAAGCACACAGTGATTAGGTTTTGCTGAGATTAGCCCATTTTACTAGTTTTATCAGTTAAATGAAAAACATTCATTTTTTCATTAAAGTAGGTCAAATGTACAAAAAAGTACCCTACAGCAATAAGATCAGACGCTGCGGCAAAAGCAGTTGATCAATTTCAATTCTGTGCTCAACAGAGCTTTAAGAACAGCTGTGGAAAAGGAAATTTCAGTATGAGCATGAATGTATTAACGAAATAAGGGAATTGTCTGATGGGCTGACATCCAATTGTCAACTCTTTACTATGCAGTTTAGGCAGTGACTATGCACTGTTGTTGTTCACAGGCTCTGTATAATAGATTTAAATCTGTCTTTTTATGATACATGCAGTTCTTCAGAACCTCTGATATACATCAAAACATACCATAAAATAATTGATCACGACAACATATCGTCATATTGCCTACCCACTTTGGCAAAGTATGTATCAGTAGCACTAGGAAACCTATGGAGATGCTAACATGCTACCTTGCCTTTAAATAAACTAAAACAGTCTCTCGCAGTTGTATGTGAGAAATGACAAATGGACACTGAAGTACGCAGACGTCATCATGGAGCTGACGGGTTACGTCATTTGGCATCAAGAAAAGCATAACAGCCTGTTTGATGGGTTTAAAAAATTTAGCTTGTTCACATTACAGCACCAAAAAACTGCTTACAGTAGGCTTCACACTTCAACCAAAGGCTTCAAGCAAATCCAAAACATTACGTAAGAGGTTTTGAGCTCTTGCTGCTGGCCTTGTGGAACAATCAAAAGAGGAAAAACATGTTTTTATGCAGCAAATGGAAAGAAAACCACAACAGCTAACAAGACGCCCAAAACAGCTCTCATTTCATCACACAGACAGCTTTGCCCACCAACTGAGATTAGCCATCCAAAACACTGGGAAACTCTTCAAAGTAGTCTGGCGCTGCTCACGTTCTCTATGTGTCTGTCACTTACTGAGATTATAAAGGGTTACTTTATTAATTGGTTCTGAACTTATCCTCATGGTGTTTAGCATGTGTTGTTATCTGTGCATTAGTTAGTTGTTTAAGCAACAGAACACAAGAGGGAGTGTGTTATTGCGAAATAACATTAATGTTAGCAGTTCCTTCCGCCAAATTATAGTTTCTTAACAAGCAGCTTGTTGCTATGTCAGAGTAACGAGCTCCGCTCACTCTCTGCACAGCCGGCAGTTCGTTCTCCAACTCCTAGCACTAAATTCCCAACCTGTCATCACCACTGAGCAGCTTTTTTGTTTTTTTTATTGCGGCAGTTTTATTGCTCAGTCCGATTTGGTCAGACTCTGAAGATGAGACTACACGTTTGGCGAATGGTATTCGGTTCATTTCTGGCTGATTCCAGGTTGTTTAGCTGTTCTTCTGTCACAGCTGCCGACTGAAAA